AGTGCTCAGATGTCTGCAAGCTTCTGAAATGCTGATCACTCTTTCCTAGTGCTGCTCAAGATGCCCTCCGTCTCAGTGACACAGCACAACATATCCTCATCGGTCAGGATCTGCTCGGCGATCAAGATGCGAATGGTGTTCATGTAGTCTTCCCTCAGTAGGTAGGACCAGAAACATTCAGCGAGATTGAGAACGATAACAGGACCCCAGACCAGAGAGCAACCCAGCCAAGCAGAATCACATCAACCAGGGAAGCAGAAAGGGAGAGAAAGAAAGGGCGAGAGCAAGAGAAAAGAGAGAGAGAGAGAGAGAGAGAGAGAGAGAGAGAGAGAGAGAGAGAGAGAGAGAGAGAGAGAGAGAGAGAGAGAGAGCGAATGAGAATGAGAGAGAGCGGGAGAGAGAGACAGAGAAAGTGAAAGTATAGGGAGAAAGGGAGGCGAGGGACAGGGAGAGGCAGAGAGGAGAGAGGAGAGAGAGAATACAGAGAGAGGAGAGAACAGAGAGATGGAGAGATGGAGAGAGAGAGAGAGAGAGAGAGAGAGAGAGAGAGAGAGAGAGCGAGAGAGAGAGAGAGAGAGAGAGAGAGAGAGAGAGAGAGAGAGAGAGAGAGAGAGAGAGAGAGAGAGAGACCGAGAGAGACCGAGAGGGAGACGGAGAGGGAAGGGAGGGGGAAAGGGAGAGAGAGAGAGAGAGAGAGAGCGGGAGTGCATACTTGAACAACCGAAGTATTAGAATCGCCCCCCAGATGCAGGAATTCTGCATTTTCAACTAATTCCTAATTCTCCTAGTTCACTACATACGTGACACTAACTGCTGGTGTACATTCATTTAATTCACTTGGTCTGCTTGGGGAGGCCCAAATATAAGTAGTGTCAGTGATGGAAACAGACAAACCATGAAACTGTTACAAAACCTACGTCACAGAACTGTCTGATTATTTGGGTTTCCATGTTTGGGAATTAGTCAATGGAGTCTCTGTGTATGCCAGTTTTGTTGGGGCAAATGAACTCTCAGGACTTATGTTACTGTTACTGGATTTATCATTTATTTCTTTGCCATCGTTTAGCTTAATTATTTAGTCTAGACCCACTAGTGAAGTCTACCAGCTAGATTATCTGATTATCGGGTTTCAATGCAACACTTCATTTTGGTAGTTAACTTACTCGAGTTCATGAATCCACCCCCTTTGAGCAGTAGCAGGTTAATGAAGCTAGTCAGACGGACTGGTATCATCATATACTAACCTCAGCATGGAGCAAGCTGTCCTCTCATTCTCGGTCTGCTTCTGTTCGGTCTATTCTGGAGCCTCTTGCTGGCCTTGTCTTTCTGCCTAGTACTAAGACTAGACGACCCTCTGCTGTACACACGTTGATCAATAACACAGCTCATGTGCTCGATAATCTACAGTCAAGGATCGGCGACAGCTCGACGGGGATGCTCTGGAGGAGGCCATTGGCCAGCTGGGCAGCAGCCTGCTTGCGAAGCGATTCGGGGAGGGCGTCCGTCCTGTTTGCGGGTCTTTCTCCTTCCCCAGGCAGTGCAAACTCCTTGCTGAAGAGATCCGCATCTCCGTCGCTTGCATCATCATCCTGTTCCGATTCTCCCTCCTTGTCCTCCTCTTCAGCAGCTTCGCCGTCTTCCAAACAGATGCGACCCTCGGGATCGGGCTCCTCGACACTTTTCTCCTCTTCGTCCTCTTCCTTGTCCTTGGCGTCCTCGATCATTCTCTGGAAGGGGACCCTGGGTGTCGCTGCCTTGGAGCTGGAGGGCTTCACCCTCTTTTTCGGGGGCTCGGGGTCTTTCTCGGGGCCTTTGTGTGGCTCCGTTCCAGCCTTGCTGCTTTTGGGCTTGGGCTTCTCTTCCGGAGCCATCTGCTTCTCCAGGTCCTGCTCTGCTGCCTTGACAATATTTAATCCAAAGGGGAATCTCTCAGGCTAGAAGTAGATTCCGGATCATAAATTAAGGCCAGTCGCCTTCTTGTAAATCCGGAGCTGCTTCTCCAGACACTCAGCAATCCTCTCGCTGCTCTCGCCGCCTTTCCTGCATCGGAGAAGAAGAGAAACCCCAGAAACTGTATATACAGCTAACTGCAATAATTATAAGTTAGAATCTTTTCAAGCGTGGGGCTGAGAAGGGTGTGGACTCCTGTCTAGTGATTTTACCTAAGGTCTGAGGACAGTGTTGGGCTACAGTACCTAGACTGCCTCTTCATACGGCGTACCCTACCTCACATATAGAGATTGCTTGTCGGTTTCAATCATCCTGAGACTTTACTGGGGCATTCGTGGCTGCAGAACCTGTCACTGAAGCAACGGTTAAAGAAATCTTGCTAGTATTCCCACGACATCTAGCTTTTCCTATCATAACACAACCCTTGGGTTTTTATTTCAATACTTATTTGAGGGTGACCGAGTTACTGCTGCTCAAAGCAGCGGTTCCCTGGCACTGCAATTCCTGGTATCCCGGCACTTACACTTTCGAACACTATTCCTGTAGTTGCAGCAGAATTTACTGAGGCATGCGGCGAGCTTCCGGGTCTCATCTGCAAAGTGGGAACGGACCCACGGGGGTCTACTGGGTGTTAATTTAGTAAGTAAGGTCTACGAACTCCATTTAAGCTTGCATTGGTCGCTTTCATAACGAACCGCTGCGGGCTCTAGGTAGGAAGGTCCTTCGGTGACACTATTCTATAGTTCGTTTATGGGCTACTAATTAACTTTGTCACAGTTCAGATTCAAGGTCCCGACAGTGTGTTTGTCAGTTCATTAATTCAGACCATCCTAAACCATGGCTAGGGGGCTATCCTTTTCCCGCCCTGCTAGGACAAGCCCAAGACTACTTATTGAGCAGAAGGCGAGGTGTGTAACGAGGTGTCATCATAAGTAACGAATCAATTAGTTAGGTTTCCACGGTGAGTTGCAGCATGGCTTACTGTGAATGTATACAGGAGCAGGCCGAACTGGGAGGGCTGCGTGGTAGGGTGCGGCTAGCTTGATTCATTAGGCTTTACACTTTACCATATTCATAAACTATGAAGAATGTCGGAAAAATGAGAACCGAGAAGATAAGATACCTAGCTCAAGGCCATTCCTGCACTCTTTAAGTAGGGGGAAGTGCTGGTGCTTTCCTAACACTTAGCCGACTTAGCCTGAGCACCTACCTACCCAGCCCGATCGTGAAGGTGCCCTGGCCAGAATTTGTTGCTAGGCTAGTAGGACCCTATTTACTTAGGAGAGAAGAGAACCACAATTGTGTGACAGGTGACCAGTCGATTGCATCCTATTTGGATTTTGGAGTTCTGCATTACGATAGGACCCCAACAGCTAGTTAGTAGGGTGGCGGAATCGCAATTGTTAGTGTCTCGCACGACCGTTATATATGGTACCACAACCCCAAGCTTCAAAAGTCAGCTCCCCAAATCCCAAATAATCTGGGCCCCCAGAAACACACATGCAACTCTTCCGGCAAATTATTCTGAGGCTCAGGGGGCAGGGCTAGGTATTGCCACTTGTACAGGTGTTCTTCATTATGTTTCTGCATTCTGCGGGCTGCACGTTACTACTACGGTGCCGGGCATCTGTTGGAAGCAGGATTGCTACAGCATGAGGATGATATATCTCAGGATTCCACGACCCCAATTTGCTCGGGCAACAGAACGACAATTTAGCAACCATTTCTATGCCACTAATTACTATCCACTACAGAGATTCTGAGGGAAGGGGCCCCAAGGTGAATAAAACTAGTACAATAAACATACCACACTGAGGTTCAAGCTAGGTCGAAACCCGAAACACTTAGCAGCTATGAGGGTGTTCCTACAGTAAGTAATGCACGACTGAGGTTGGTGTGAGGCCCAGAATAGGATCTGCAAAAACAATTGCCAGCAAAGCCAGTAATGTTGTAGCACGGATCAAAAGGGGCCTAGACGAACATCACTACTTGGAGGGGCAGGGGACTTAGTATGTAGGTTATAAGTAGGGTTATAATTGGGGTAACTCCATTTAGGGTAGTTATAACTCTACTTACTATAATTATTATAACCTACTTACTAAGTCCCCTGCCCTTCCAAGTATGGCACCCTGTTGTGCTCCAGGTCCCAAGGGTGAAGCTTCAGGTGACAGGAACGGGAACACACTGCCAGTCGATCACACAGTCTGCATATGTGCACACATGTCTTTGCGGGGTATGGTTTTTGATTCTGTATCGTACGTAGGTGCGTTTGTGTGTATTTATGCATGCATATTGCATGTGTGTTTGTATGTATGCATGCATGCATATATATATATATATATACAGACATCTATGTCTATATGTATATATACATGTCTCACTGTGTGTCTGGCAGCCTATGCGTGTGCTTGCATGTACGTATGCAGTATGCGTGCATTGCTATATGTATGTGTGTGCAAAACTATAGCTCAAACCCTAAGCCATGGAAGTAATGAGTGATCTGGCTGTCTGCAAAGCCAAGGCCTCTCGTGGCGACGGCTCAGCGAGCGGATGGCGCCGGATATATCATGAAGAGTCTTCGCATTGGCCAAGAGGATCGCTGAAGCCGGCTTTCCGGAAACTTGGATTGCAGCAATGTGACTAAGATAAGAAACCGGACTTGACCTCACTCCAATCTTGACCTCACTCCAATGCTTTCTAGAGTCTAATCTGCACGAGATGCGACAGTCGCTTCTTCCACATCGTTCCACTGGCTCTGGCCTGTTGGAAATTTTTGGAGAAATTACTGGGATGATATTACTAATCGTCAAAGAGCCCATCCCGCCTGGAAGATGAAGTCGCTTCGGGCTTGCTTCTGCTTCTTGGCGGCCGCAGCTCGAGCCACATTCAACCCTTCCTTAGCTCAGAGATCGTCAATGGTTTTCTGAAGAAAGCTCGAGTTACATTCGCTGGCATCAGCCTAGGCTCCAGTTCTCCGCCAATCTCGTAGATGTCGTAGGCGGTCAGGCCTTCATGTATGCCAGACATGCTAAAGGCCATCTGTCGGCAACTCAGCTCGTCGAGCTTCCTCGCCCCCTCCGGGCGCTGCAGATCCTTCTTGGCAAGCCCGAGGATCCCCATGGCGTCGTCCTGCTCCTGGCTGTCCACCTGGGACTGGGCGTCCGTCGAATCTTGCGACTCGCTGGAAGAGCTGCCTTAGATCCAAGCGACACTGCAATTGTCAAATTGTTTTGCATGATGCGAAAGAATAAACAACAGCCGTGTGCAGTGTACTACAGTATTTGATCGGCCAAAGAACTTGTTTTCTTCTTTTTCTTGCTCTTCTTGTGCTTTCCCTCTTTCTCTTTTGTGTCTTTCTTCTCGATGCCCTTTTTCTTGTCCTTCTCCTTTTCCTTCTTCCCGGAAGCACCTGAGCTTGCATCTGCATCGTCCCTCTATTGTCTCGCAGCCAAGCCAGTGTTGCAACACTGAAAAAACCCTGCCTTCGAGCACATCTTCCAAGGACTTCCTAGCCGTCTGGCGAAGAAAAGATCTGGCATCCGGTGGCTCGTCCTTGTCCATAGGCGGGGGCGCTGGCGTATTGATGTCCCTGCGGGAGGCAGTCCTGATAGGAATGGTTCTAGTGGTCAACTTTGAAATCAAGACACAAGCTAGCAGACAATGATTGTGATCTGATGTTGGTCCTCTTCAAGCCAGTGGCTCGCATAGCCATGGCTGCTGAATATGCGAATTGACAATTAGTTTACGACAATCTGTTCGGAAGCATTATGCCGTGTCATGGATGCAAGGCAGTATCATCAAGCCTCCCTGGTGCTTTGTTCTCTGCCTCTGTCGGAGTTCAACTGGACAGTTTGTATCTTCTCGGACATCACAACAAAAGATCATGAGACTGTCTTCGGCAGACAGGACATGTTATTATGATCGAACTGAGTCTTCGTGCCCATGCACACAAGTCTTCAACCGCTCCTGCTAAGGATCCTCCGAATCTGAGCGATTTTCGCACGGCTGCTGCAAGGCTTAAGCGTCAGGCCTTTGCCTATGAGTTGCAGAAACCCATTCCAGTCTGCCGGTTCCCCATAAGAGCTGATTGTGTTGCGGTATGCATGCAGCAGACCTGAATGAAGTTCGGGGGCATTCGTGCGAAAGCTTGTTCTTACTAATGGACTGCATATGCATAACAGATGGATTTTTTTAGGGGTAAGCTGGTAAGGAGATTACGTAGGATTTGTTAGTCGTAGTCAGTCAGTAGTAATTAGGCAATCGAAACCGAAAGCTTTCGCACAACACCTCAAAACCCTCTATGGCTGGAGTCACGACGAAGCTCTCCGGGCCGATGAAATCCGGCGTTCTGCCGCCAACCTGAAGCTAATCGTCCGGTCTGTTAGTTGAGGCCTCTATATCTTGATCTGGGTTGAAGGGATTTGGTATCGGCGTTTCCGGATGGATTTAGCTCGAAGGCTTCAAGACTTCAGGGGGGTTCACTGGTATGGGTCCCGACAACATCAGAACGGAGACACACATACCAGGCTTGGAAGAGTCCGAAAGTCACAGCGAGGCGAAAACCGAAGCGATGAACCCGAACCCGGGGCCCGGGGCGGCTTTTCGAGATTAACGGAATTTGTATTAGTATTCTTAGGCTTAACTAAACCCCTTTCAAAGACTTAGCTAAATCAACATTAAATCCTTGAGCCCGATGATACTATAGCCCGGGTACAGCAACATTAGCTGATTAGCTTCAAGAAGGAAGTCTATCTATCGTTGGCCCAAGGCTGCAGTAAGTAACATTACGGGTGTTGCGTATATTGCGGCCTCGTAGCACTGCAGCAACCACCACAGTCCACAGCCATCAGATAGAAGGCTCCTTGCTTTGTGTTTGTAAACAATGGAGACTTTTCGGGCAGGGGCTTTGATTGTAGTCGTCGTCCAGCAGTATTAGTAGAAGTAGTAGTAGTAGTAGTAGTAGTAGTAGTAGTAGTAGTAGTAGTAGTAGTAGTAGTAGTAGTAGTAGTCGTAGTAGTAGTAGTAGTAGTAGTAGTAGTACTAGTAGTAGTAGTAGTAGTAGTAGTAGTAGTAGTAGTAGTAGTAGTAGTACTTGTAGTAGTAGTAGTAGTAGTAGTAGTAGTAGTAGTAGTAGTAGTAGTAGTAGAAGTAGTAGTGGTGCTAGTAGTAGTAGAAATAGCAGTGGTAGTAGTAGTAGGTAGTAGCAGCAGCAGCAGTAGTGGTAGTAGTAGTAGTAGTAGTAGTAGTAGTCGTAGTCGTAGTCGTAGTGGTAGTAGCAGTGTAGCAGTAGTAGTGGCAGAAGCGGTTGTAGTAGAAGTGGTGATAGTAGTAGTAGCAGCAGCAGCAGTAGTAGTAGTAGTAGTCACAGTAGCAAAAGTAGTAGTACGACGACGACCCCGATCGGACCGAGCAGCCAATGGCCCAGCACAGCATGTAGTCCAGAACCAAGAGAGAGAGGACCACTCTGCCTGAGATAAGTACGAATGAGAAGCCAGGGAGACCCACCCAACGACAGGCAGAGTTTCAATGCGTGCTTCAGTCCCAATGCAGAAAAGCATCAGCCTGGGATTTCGAGTCCAAGGCACATCCATTATAGATCTGCATTCATAAGAATCTTCCCACATAAGATAGCCAAGGCCACACCAAACCAATGCACGAGTCCTGACTTGTTGTATTTGTGGCAGGGGGAAGAGGCTCACACTGTTGAAATGGTGCCAGCTGCTTCTAGAGTCTGTAATTTGTGACAATGAGCCGTGAAACCTATTTTGGTGCGAAAAGGCTTCAGATATATTCTGCTACTAGTGTTACATGACAGCACTGCTCGTGTTACATGTGATAAAATAGGAGCTAATTACTAATACTGGGTTGGTGTTAGACCCGGATCAGAGCACATCGGTGCTCCAAGAACAAAGAATGGTCTCCCAATGTGGAGAAAGCAATTGGGGATCCTGGGAGTTTGGGGGATTTGACCTTCTTCGAAAACGAAACCACAATCCTGGCTGTGCATCTATCTGAGCTGCAACCTTTGAAACGTTTTGCCACAGCCAAGAATCGGAGGCCGTCCACCATTCCAAGATCAGCCGCCCAAGACTTCCCATCCTCCAGGTGCCTGCAGAAACACTTTCAATGACATCACCCCTCAACTCATCACAGAGTCGACCCGTGCACATCCAAACTCTCCCCGTTTGAATCAATGAATAAGAAACGAAGCCCATCTCTAGGAGGAGCCCGACCAAGCCTAGCAATTATATTATACATGAATATTATCCAAATTAGTTATTGCATGTAATGAATGTCAATTATGAATGAATGCAACAATGGCACCGTGACTGGAGGTGCTGTTGCAGCACCAACCGCAGGAACCGGACCGGTCACCAAATAATCGTCCGCCTTCGAAGGACAAGGCCAGGCTTTCCAATGCACCGAAACCAAGCAGGAATCAACAGGAATCAGATCGCCTGGAATTTCAAGACCTGATGCATCCGCGCTCGCTTCGCAAAGACAATCGTAGGTCGCGATTGAGGCGTGAACCACCCGTCGAGGTCCTCGCAAGCTGGAAAGAGGCAGACAGTCCTTCGATAATGCAGAGTGCAGCAGCCGGAGCCTGGGACAGCAGATTCCTCCCCAGGCTGTCAAAGATGGAGGTCCATGGCACAGCACCCAAATCGTGTCTGTTGTGTCGCATCAACAAAAGGTCAACAACCTGGGTCACTCAAAATTGGTCGTGAGACAAGAACAACTGCATTCATGTATTGAACCAACCGCCAACCCCAACCGCCAAGCAGCTGCATACACGAACGTGCCGGTCACCTTGGCCAGGGAGTCAGTGAGCGTGCAGGAATCCATCTCGATCGGCTTGGTCATCTTTTGGAACCTAAGATCAAAGATTCAGGCACGAGGCACAAAGAATGATTGCACCTGCTGATAAGTGGCACTGGCTTGAATCGGCCTGCCAGGTATTTCAGTCCTTCCATCAGCATTCGGTCCGTGCCGATGAGCAATGTTGGGAACCTCGGAAATGCAATGTAACAAATATGTGAGAACACTGCTGCGGTCCAGTCCAATCAACGGCCCGCTAATGAAATTATATTTTCATGCGAGAGGCACATCCACGGACCCGAAGCAATCCATGCCGAACCCAACTCTTTCCAGCTTCGATCCAGGCTTGATCTCGAACAAGTGCCCATATCCATACGGGACATGGATCACACATCGGGCTCGGATCATCATCGTAAGGTGGGCCAGGTCCAAAGCAAACTCCTGAGATGCAGCGGCTAGGACCATTCCCGCTACAAAGCCCTTCCAAATCTCAGAAAAGTCTCGACCACTTCGAGCGTTTGCTCGTCACCTTTGGCCACACCGGCTTTGAAAGGCCTCAGAGCTTCAATCAGTGATTGCTTTAAACTGATCTGTCAGTCTTCCGGACAGCAATTTGCATCGAGACACGGGAACATGCACAGAACACCGCCGGGATAAAGTCGGCTGCACATCTGCAAACCTCACAAGAAACTGCGTGCACCCAGTAGTGATCATATCTTTGACTTGCTGGCAAACAAGACGAGCGGCAGAGATCCTGGTATTGCACCATGTCGGAGCCAGGCAGATATGCAGATGTTGTAAAGCCGTCCTGAGATGAAGGGGTCGATTGAACTAGGGTTCTTGTACTAATCTTCTGCGTAAAATGCTTTGCACTAGTGCGACAAAGGTACTCTGATCAAGCCCTCGTGAAGGCAGGGGCTCCCGACCACCAAAACATTCAAAAAGCGCTCACGACGAAACGTGACACCCTCCTGATGGTAGCCCGGGTCGAAGACCCACTCACAGACACGATCCACATTGTCCCGAAGCTCATGGCGGAGATACTGCATTGTTTGCAAACTGAAGATTTCTGCTGCTCTGTCTGAATCCACTGATGTGTGCTGGCTCTCCTCCGACTCTTATCATGTTTTGCCTTAAGCCTAACTTCGCAGATCATACAAGCACAAGCACAACGAGCGAGCACGCACTTATCTTTAAAGCACGCTCTTCGAGCGAGCATTGCTTCCGTAACCCTTGACCTATACCCATAAACCCCAAACCCTAACCTCCATAACCCCTATACCCCTAAACCCCAAACCCTAACCCCCCTAACCCCTAAACCCCTAAACCCCAAACCCTAACCCCCCTAACCCCTAAACCTCTAGACCCCAAACCCTAACCTCCCTAACCCCTATACCCATAAACCCCAAACCCTAACCTCCCTAACCCCTATACCCATAAACCCCAAACCCTAACCCCCTAACCCCTAAACCCCTAAACCCCAAACCCTAACCCCCCTAACCCCTAAACCCCTAAACCCCTAAACCCCAAACCCTAACCCCCCTAACCCCTAAACCCCTAAACCCCAAACCCTAACCCCCCTAACCCCTAAACCTCTAGACCCCAAACCCTAACCTCCCTAACCCCTATACCCATAAACCCCAACCCTAACCTCCCTAACCCCTAAACCCCTAAACCCCAAACCCTAACCCCCCTAACCCCTAAACCCCTAAACCCCAAACCCTAACCCCCCTAACCCCTAAACCTCTAGACCCCAAACCCTAACCTCCCTAACCCCTATACCCATAAACCCCAAACCCTAACCTCCCTACCCCACCCCTAAACCCCAAACCCTAACCCCCCTAACCCCTAAACCCCTAAACCCCAAACCCTAACCCCCCTAACCCCTAAACCTCTAACCCCAAACCCTAACCCCCCTAACCCCTAAACCCCTAAACCCCAAACCCCCCTAACCCCTATACCCACAAACCCCAAACCCTAACCTCCCTAACCCCTAAACCCCTAAACCCCTAAACCCAAACCTTAACCCCCCTAACCCCTAAACCCCTAAACCCCAAACCCTAACCCCCCTAACCCCTAAACCTCTAGACCCCAAACCCTAACCTCCCTAACCCCTATACCCATAAACCCCAACCCTAACCTCCCTAACCCCTATACCCCTAAACCCTAACCCCCCTAACCCCTAAACCCCTAAACCCCAAACCCTAACCCCCCTAACCCCTAAACCTCTAGACCCCAAACCCTAACCTCCCTAACCCCTATACCCATAAACCCCAAACCCTAACCTCCCTAACCCCTAACCCCTAAACCCCCCCTCCCTAACCCCTAAACCCCTAAACCCCAAACCCTAACCCCCCTAACCCCTAAACCCCAAACCCTAACCCCCCCTAACCCCTAAACCTCTAGACCCCAAACCCTAACCTCCCTAACCCCTAACCCTAAACCCCAAACCCTAACCCCCCTAACCCCTAAACCTCTAGACCCCAAACCCTAACCTCCCTAACCCCTATACCCATAAACCCCAAACCCTAACCTCCCTAACCCCTAAACCCCTAAACCCCAAACCCTAACCTCCCTAACCCCTAAACCCCAAACCCTAACCCCCCTAACCCCTAAACCGGCCAGCCTGATCGGTGAGACCCGCACGATGCAGCCCTTTACGGAGAGCTGCGAGTAGGAGGTCGATCTTGCTTTTCCGGTCAAGCCGTTGCAGCAAATGGCGCTGCCTCTTGTTGAGCTTCACTACCGGAAGATCGTGGTCCATGTGGCAGTACCTGAACCCGAATAACTTGCATTTTCGCGGACTTCTAGAAGGAAAATCATCATAAAGAGCCCGAAAAAAGTGGCCCTAAATGGGTCCGGGTACTTGCAAGACTGCACATCGCACCAGCCTCTCTTCATCACATAGACGCATCTTCGGGCGCAAAGGAACGGATGCCCACTGGTGCCTGGATTGCACCATGTCGGGGAAGGAAGGCTCTGCATCGCGAAATCGTCTAGGTTTCCTGAAAACCGAGCCCAACTGCCACGCAGAGGCCTGCACGACAACTCCCACTGGCTCACAATGACTCATATGGTTTCAGCGCAGAGCGTCGGATTATAGACTTATAGCGTTACAATACAATATAAGGTTATATATTGTAATGAACCCTAAGATCTCATAGTGTAACCTTTTTTAAGATGATATAACATACAATAAACACTATACAGTAAGATAAGCAGTAAGATACTACGATATAAGAAATATGAGCTTATATAGTGCAAACATCACATTGTATTGTGAGATACCATGGTATAACACAACATGGCACAGCAAGGAAGTCATATGATATGTAGTTCTTATATAACAGATCGCCATAAAGCATAATATACCATACTCTACTTTGCATAGCATGATATATAGTATGATAAGATATGCATTAACATCATACCATAAAGTGAAATGCAAATCAAATGTAAGTCCTTATAGTGTAATGTTTATGTATGTAACATAGCATAATACAATGCAATAAAACCTAACGACACTCGTCCTTCATCACATAGTACAACACGGAAACAGGAAATCAAGTAACAAAACAGAGACGTAGGATCATGAACTATCAGCTAGACAAATGTAACACCACTAGCACAACACAACATGTCATGTTGAAGTGTAATATAATGTAGCACCAGTAACAGGAATTAAATGAACCAAGACATGATATGAAACTGTTGCTAGAGAAACAGAGAGATTTATCTATACGTACCACAAACTTATATGCACACATACATACATACATACATGCATACATACATACGTACATACATTTGCTTTCTGTGTGTATATGTATATGTGTGTGTGTATGTATGTACCTGTATCCATGTATGTATGTGGGGACCTCCCTCTCTCTCTATATATATGTATATAACTATATACGTATGTTTATTCATGCAGAGACACATGGAGAGAGGTATGCAGCTACATGCACGATATGCCAGACTCGTCGATCGACTCCATCTACCTAGAGGCTCATACCCTGCCCCTTTCTTCGGATACCCAGTTTTATGGTTAGGATCTACTATATAGACAAGTAGATACCCTGAAAAAGGGGTAGGGTATGAACCTACAAGTTTCGTGACCGGGACACCAGCACTGATTGGGACAAGACAATCATCCGACCCGTCGCACGGGCACCTTGGATCCTTTGCAAGCCAACGATTTAAGGCTCTAGGGTTTTAGGGTTTAGGGGCACCTCCGATTCTTTGCAAGCCAGGCCACACAGCAAAAACCCCTTCGGCAACAGATCAACTTGAAACCGCATGGGCTCCGTATGATGCAAACATGACCAGACTCCAGCAGTTGTGATGCACTCATATACAGTAAAAACCAAAGATGAAAGAGAACCCGAAGCCCTAAACCCTAAACCTAATCCCTAAAACCAAATGTGATAGGTATCCTTCGGAACTGTCCAAACCCTGCCATAGAACCCGAAACACTCAAGCTCTAAGCTTCCTCCTGTATATTATAGTATAGTCTAGTATAGCATAGTATAGTACAATGTAGAGTATAATATAGCATAGTATAGCATGGGGTAGCATTGTATGATGTAGTATAATGTCATTGTAACTCTGAGGTCCCTACAAGGTCAATTCTGCAGGTACCTGGCTTAGAAACTTAAAGCCGTAACCGGGAATCTTCAGCGCTGGCAGACGGGCTGTGGGAATTCGGGTCTTGTTAGCCTGAACTTATGCAGATTGGCCCTGTGGTTGCACGCTCTGAAAATGTTCGTAAACAAGGCCCTCTTAGACACAATAAACCCTGAGCGGAGGTCTCTTGTGCCTGAAATACTTCGCAGCCAGCACCCAGAGGGAGGTAGTGACAGCCGACCAATGCGTGATGCAAATGTCACCCTCCTGAGCAAGTGATAGCAATTCTACTACGAATATTCCTACTAGTATTGTTCGCGTAAACTACTGCTGATTGCTACTGTGAATATGGCCACTACATAATACTACCATTACTCTGCCACTACATTGCTACCATGCTTACGATCACTACGATGACAATGTCGAACACGGTTATTACGAGTAGAACGATTACTACAAGTATGACTATCATCCCGCGCAGTACGATTGTTACAAATACTACGATGATTCAGAGGATTACACTGATGACTCTGAGTGCGACCTCTGAGTACGTTACTGTGGCCACTACTATTGCTTGTAGCAGTTTGAACAGGCTTTTAGGGCCCATTATATCATAACTACAAAAGGAACCCCCGAAATAGCCCTAAGGGTCCATGTACTCATATAGTATATACATTGGCCTTAATGTCGTCCCTATAGAGGTACTTTGGGGCTCATGTATCTCTATATGGATACATGGACCCTTGGGGTAGTATGTAGGTGACTATTTAGCCCTCTAGATCGGTCAAAGTTGAGAGGTGTCCGTAAAGCTTCGAAGGGTCAAGTCCTCCGGCAGGCTCAAGCGTTCAAGGCTCATTCAGAGTTGGTTTAAGCTTTTGAGGCTACCAGGGCCCCCCCGCCGCCCAAGCACCCGCAACAGAGGTTCGCTCATCATAACTACAGGGGCCTGAATAATTAGAGTAGGGTTTGGGGAGGGGGCGGGGGAAGGTGGGGTATACCATACAGTACAATAGATCTAGTGAGGACCCCCCCCCCCCCCCCCCCCCGAAACCCTATTCTAATTACTAAGGCCCCTAGACTCTGCGGGGCCAGCTCACCTCAAGGTTCATGACTTAAGCTCTCTAGCTCGGGGTGCCGGCTCGACGTCAGGAGTTAAGAATTTAAAGTCCCCGGCATAAGCAGGACGAAAAGGAGCAGAGGGAGATGACAGCTAAGCATTTCGGGATGGCAGAGAGAGCGATAAAGAAAGAGAGAGAGAGAGAGGGACATAATACATGTGTACATATATATGTGCTAACCATATGTATACGTGTATATATATATATATACATATAAATGTATATGTGTGTGTGTGCTATGTATATATATATATATACATATATAGATATATAGATATATAGATATATAGATATATATATATATACTGCACTGCAACCCATCGCCGGGTTTGAGGTTTTGTCTGCGCAGATGCTTAGGACGTCATATATATATATATATATATATATATATGCTGCAACAGCGAACCATGGATCTGACGGGATATCCCGAGTCCAATCAACTCTACTTAGGGACCCAAAAAGCACATAAGCATAAGCATTTTATCGGGATATCCCTACCTTATTGGGCTTCATTATAAGGGGATTTGTATGGGATATCCCTACCCTAGTTTTTGCTTATGTGCTTTTTGGGGGCCCTATCTACTTAGAGGACCATGGGACTTAGTAGCTTAAAGGGCTCCTTAAGGGGTTCCTTTCAAGGGTTCTATAAGAGATCTGTAAGGGCTTAGAGTTTGAGGATCATGGGGCTTAGAAAGTAGGGTGATATGTAAGGTAACTATAGTTCTATCTACTAATTACCCCAATTAAGGTACTTATAACTTATAACCCCACTTACTAAGTCCCATGATCCTCCAAGTAGGGCTGAAGTTGCTTAAATGATGGGTTACTGATTTACAAAATGTACAATATCGTGAGTTACTATACTGTTTAAGTAACTGGAGACCTAGGGTAATACAGGCCCAGCAGGGTCCATATACATTACCATTATGTAATTAAGCCCCACACGACCATCCTAATAATGGTTTCGGTGGGCCTATTTCCATGATGGTAGTGTATATCGACCCTCTGGGCGGGTGCCTTAATAATGACAGTTTTGCGCATGGATAATCAGAACAGGGCTTGAGGGTATATTATGCTATGACTATGTCCGGGACGATACGGGGTTTAGGCTCTGATGTCATCCCAACTGCAGGCGGTACATGTGTAGGTGTAGAATCTAACTTTAGTAGGACTAAAGATTGAAAAAATGGCAGCCCGTCCGCATAACTAAAGCTATGCCGCTCTTTCGGAGCTTGGCGTTTTCTTGCAAATAAGCATTCGCTTAAGACCTGGAGCGCAAAAGCCCCAACAGCGCAACGAATCTGCACCCCCAAAACCAAAAGCAAAACCAAATCCTAGAAACCTAAACACCAAACCATAAACCCAAAGCCTTGCGGACCTACAGCCTATACGCCCCAGACCCAACAATCATAGGAGACGGGGTAGGGGACTATACTCCCCCTACCCCCCTAAGGGTCCTCATGAAACAAGGCTCAATCCTAATGTCCTGAACCTGCTGCAGACCATTGGCCTTGGACGACGAGCAGCCGGAGAGCATACCTGATCTTTTTAGGGTTGTAGGTGTTTCGGTGTTTTTGGTTTATGCAGGGTTTAGGGTTTAGCGCGCAGAGTTTGAAGGTTTAGCTGTTTTCGAATGTGTTTAGGGTTTTTGGCGTTTAGCGCTATGGCCTTCATTCACCACCCCATATTCAAGTGTTGTTGGTTCGGACGAAATGGTCTCTATAGAAGTCTATCGATTTACAGAATGAACACATATACGTAGACACATAGAAACATGTATATATGAATATCATTTCAGTCCAAACAAAAGGTTCCAAAGTATGTAAACGAAACTTAGGTATGGGGCCTCGGGGCTGTTGGGTTCAGGGTCGTGGTTTAACCTTTTCTTCCGTTAACTGAAGTTTAAGGGTTTTTTTTGAAGTTTAAGGGTTTAGGGTTCAGGGCTTTAGCCTTTGACCACCAAACTCGAAATTGGCAAACTTGGCTGAGAACCTCACACCATGAACCCGTAGCTGCAAACGTGCAAGTGCCTTGGGTTTACTGCGTATGACACTACGCTCGTAAAGCCACGTCCTGCACTCTAAAATCGTCGTAATAGCTGTTGGTTCTTACTACTACAGTCACTGGCATTCCTATCATTTGCGTTCTTACCATGTCTGGTATAATCTAAGCATGCACATGCATATAAAAATATATATATATATATATATATATATATGTATGCATATATATGTGTGTGTGTAAGCCATCTCCAACACCTGTCTGAGAAAGCTTTCTTGCAGTTTGAAAAGAATGAGTAAACCTACGCTCTGCCCGAACACACCAGCAAAGCCACACAGTGCTCCCAACGCCGTGGGCAAGCTCCGGGCCTCGCCAGACGCTGGTTTACGGCTTCGGATTTTGTGGCTAAAACAACATCGGAGGCCTCTAAAGGTGGGATGAAGGTAGGTAGGATTAAGGATCGCTTATATAAGGACTCTTATTTGGGAATATCCCACCTACCTTCATCCCACCTTTTGAAGCCTCCGACAACCTTAGTCAGCTTGGATTTGGGCGTGTTCAACCTTGCCCGCGTTACCCTGAAGCCCCAACTCCCAAGTACGCCAGAATCATCAACAGACCGTATATTTGAACAAGTACTCTCATGTACGAATGATATACCATATACACACACACATACATATACATATACATGTGTATGTGTGTAAATGTATACTTCTATATACACATACAATTACATATACATAGAAAATACATCTACATATACATGTATGTATGTATGTGTATATATATATATAGGTATATATATATATAGATATAGGTATATAGATATATAGATATATACATGTATGTATGCATGCATATGTAGGTGACTACATACATCCATGCATCGCTAAATGCATGCATGCATGCATGCATGCACGCATGCATGAAGCAAAGTATGCCTACATGCATATGTATATATATATATATACACACACATACGTCTACACATCTATACAGTCTATACATATATGATTGAAGATCCTTCCCGTGTAATGTCCCCCACTGGGCTTGGCTGGGTTACAAGCAGGTTGTTGCCGTTGTCGCTGTAGAGCTGTTATTGTTCCTGTCCTACTTGTCGGGTATCATGGGGAACTCAAGGTTAACCTGTTTGGATATACAGGGGTTATATAGGGACTATACTACGTACCCAAAACAGGTTAAAGGTTACCTTCTCTACTACTAGGTTGTTGAGCGTAATGCTGAAGAGTCTGCTCGGAAGAGCGGCCCCTGAAATTTTAATTACATGCCAAACACTCAGACCTAACTTAGAAGGCTGAAAAACAGAGTGAACTTTCGGGTGGAAGAAAAGTTGGAAAGGAAGGCCTGCGGAATACTCTTGCTATTGAGTCAGAGCCCTGTTTCTGTGGCGTCTCTATAGTGAAACTGAACCCTGTAGATAACCCTAGGACTCCAAGTATACAAATAGTACCTACTTTGGGGGTTAATGTCTATGAATACGACATACTTTGGGCTATTGGGAGTCTTAGGGAAAGCCTCAGCTGCCACAAGTCCCCGGCGTTCCAGCCCGCCACACTGCTGGATGCTAGGAGAGCCGAGAAAGATGCCAAGATCCGGTCTGGGATTGGGGCTCTCTGTTTGGGGTTTAGGGTTTAGGATTTTAGGGTTTATGGTTTGGGGTTTAGGGTTTAGAGTTTAGGATTTTAGGGTTTAGGGTTTTGGGTTTAGGGTTTAGGGTTTAGGTTTCAGTGTCAAAACTACGGCTTTGGGGTTTCACGTTGCGGAGCTGTGGAGGTTAGCGGTTGAAATCACAAATCGCAGCCACCGGGCCGTTTTCAAACCCAACACCATTTACGGCACCCCGTCTGTAGGAACCCTTACAGCAACCAGTATGGTCCACTTACAGAAGCCGAGCCTGGGGCTGGGGGGTGTTGGGTCGAAAATTGGGGTTTATCCTGACTACACACACACACACACATGCGGTAGTGTTTAGATAAAACTTCGCCTTCACTTGCAGTTAGCTTTGGCTTTTTCATGGTTTTAATTTCTTTTCGGGGTGACCTCGTCGGATCCTAAATATAGACTTCGTTAAACCAGTAAAAGGAACTACAGGAGAGACGATAGGCAAACCCTAAGTGCTATGAGCACGTAAACTTTGATCTAGTTGCTGAGTTCATAAGCCCAACCAAAAGTGTACACTTTTGGTTTGATAGTGGGTAATATTAACCCAAAAAGTGTAAAGTTTATCCACTCAGCTACTAAGCCCCCCCTAACCCCTAAGCCCCTAAACCCTAAACCCCTAAACCTTAAACCCCTAAACCCTAAACCTTAAAACCTCAAACCCTAAACCCTAACCCCCCCCCCTTGACGAGGGCCTCAACCCTAAACCCTAAACGGGGCCCGGACTGAACCAGGGCCTCATGGGTGTCCGCAGAGCATCAAGACGCACCAGCGCACCTTGATATCGGGCATAATGATTAGGGTTTAGGGCGGTTTAGGGTAGTTATAAGGGGAGTTCATAGTACCCTAATATGGGTCGTAAGTGTAGTTACACTACTTCCAACCCTACTTTATAACTACGGCTGATGAGAAAATCCTGCATTACCTGAAGGACCCTAAACTACGGGAATTATGGTATATTCCTTATGACATGATGGGTCATGCAGGATTTATATCATCAACCGTAGTATAGGGGCCACAAAGATTAGAACGGGGTTTTGGGGCTATATAATATGTATAGCTACAGAGGGACGATGAGAGGACGTAATTTGAATAGGTTTGGGGGTCCAGGGAAGTATTACTGAAAAGGGACCATCAGGGGATACAGGGATACGATTACTAACTGGTTCAGGTCGTTACCTTGCATCGACGTCTCTCCCATCCGAATCTGTTGGGGTTTAGCGTTGACGGATTCGGGGTTACAGGGCTGGGTCGACGTAGGCTTTAGGGAATCGCAGCTTCAGGGTTTCAAGGTTTGGAGTTTGGGGAGTTGGGGCCGTAGAGTTTCGGGTGTTGAGGGTTTCCGGGGGCTCGCATCATGCGATGTATCGCCCATTGAAGGGTTTTCAGCGATTGGCTTGGGGAGGGCAGGCCCCACTACCCTAAGATTACGTACAGGATAGCTTTGCCCCACTCCCGATGTTGTTAGCTGTTAGCTTGGCTGGTTGCGGCTGTTGTTGTGATTGCTGTGGTGGCTGGTGTGTGGGGGTGAGGAGCAGCCCCTCCAAACCCCTCCCCACTCCTGCTAGCAGAACAACCCAAACCCTCCCCTCCGTCATGAGCTTGGAGTTGACCCACACCAACTACCTGAGTAAGGTATTTTCTACGTGCAGCTACGGGTTACGGGCAGCCACGAAACCCCAAGTCCTCAACCGCAAACATTTAAAGGGAACTCCAGAAAGTTGGAATATGGTTTCAAGGTCGGATACCTTATAATTTACCATAAAGGGCTTAGGATAATCATATTCCAACTTTCTGGCTTTTACTTTAAACCTAAAACCCCAGATATGTTCCTTAAACCCTCAACCCTGAGCCTCTTTTGGTAATTACATGGCCCAACTATAGAGCAAGGTCGAACAAGTCCCTACGTTAAGCGTTCCGGAGAAAGGGGGCCCTTACTTGGAGGATCATGGGACTTAGTAAGTAGGGTTAGAAGTGTCTTGATTGGGGTTATAAGTAGCCATAACTATAGTTACTCTGGTCATAACCCCAGTTACTAAGTCCCATGATCCTTTAAGTAAGCTAGCCAACCCTTTAAAATTATGACCGAACCTTAAACTGCCAGGCGAGTATCTCAGCAACCCCACGCCATTGGGCAGCGCCAGAGAGTGGTGTGCCTTTTGGGGGTCTTAAGGTAAAAGCCAGAAAGTTGGAATATGATTATCCTAACCCTTCTATGGTAAATTATAGGGTATCCTACCCTGAAACCATATTCCAACTTTCTGGAGCTCCCTTTATGCGGACCTACATTTGACGGATATACAGGGGGCTGTACTTGGCCACGATTCGAATTCGAGTGGTCCTTGAGGACTTTGACCATTGACGGCGAGCAGGCAGAGATCTCCCCTATATGCCTCATGCCCTACTTGGGGTCTGGGGTCCATTTGTCACAGCGTAGGGTTGGAACCCAAACCGCGTCAAAACCCCGAATCATCAAGTTCTGTCGTCGAATTTGATGGAAGATACGAGCATGTCGGTGGAACGAACACAACACGTTCTCCCCACTGCCTGCTGAGAGCTTCGGGTGTGAGGCTTAAGGCTCTGGATTCCGCGATTCAGGATTCAGGGCTTGGGGCCGGAAACGTCTCCCCCCACATGTGCAAACTTCAGTGCGACGACTCATGGATAGGCAAGTCATCCTTCCGCTTCACCGAGGGAACTCCACACAGTCATCTGTTCAGGATCTGTAAGTACTCTAGTATAGTATAGTACAGTATAGCATATATATATATATGTTTTTATTTACAGTAAAGTATAGTATACTATATCAGACTATCTAGCATTACAGGCATTACAACAAATACCTTGTGCTCTAAGCCGAAAAAAGACCTATACTCCCCTTAGAACCATAATAAACACATATTGTTCATATTCTCTTGCGTTTCAACTGAACAAAAATTAAAAAAATCCTAAGGAGACCATAGAGACAGTGATTCCCGGGGCCAACCCAGGCTTCGGCCTTAGCTTCGGCGCTCCTCTTCGCGGCCTCCTTTGGGTTTTAGTATTTTTTTTTTTTTTTGGGGGGGGGGGGGGGTGGTTTAGGGTTTTTTGTTTTTTTAGGGTTTAGGGTTTAGGGGTTTAGGGTTTTAGGGTTTAGGTTTTAGGGGTTTAGGGTTTAGGGGTTTAGGGGTTTAGGGTTTAGGGGTTTAGGGGCTTAGGGACTTCGGTACGCACGGTTGTGCCATATGCTTAGCTGGACGTGCGAGCATGCGATCACATGCACGCCCACACACACACACACATGTATATGTGCTTTGCATGCGACACGGTGCTTTGTCCATGGAGAGCTTGATGAACAACAGCGAGAGAGACAAAGAGAGAGAGAGAGAGAGAGAGAGAGAAAGCAGAGAGACAGAGAGAACAACATGAGGGAAAGGTTTACGCTTTTAGGCTAAAGTTTGGTCGCCAGATTAGTTGGATATATTTTATCGGAGTGGCTGGGTAGTTTTTTATCCGCTTTCCTTGTGTATGCTCCTTCACCTACTGAAACTGTGGGATTGGTACAAACTGGTCTGCACATGGGAGGAAAGCTCATGTAGTGCATTCACAGCGATAAAGGGGGATCTTACCTGGCTTCAATGGTTTCAGCTGCTAGGTTTTCGGTGGAGTTCCGACAGATAAGGGATTTGGTCAGCTTCCGGCAACCCAAAGATCCAATGAACCTGCTGCTGCTGCTAACATAATCCTCATAAGCCACATCTAGAAAACCACCACGTTCATCCCTTCAAGACGTGTCTTCTGTGGCTTTGATGCTGCTTCTTTCTCACCTCAGCCCTTTGCAGTTTTGCCGGCAAGCCGGCGTTCTTCACAAACAGGTTTGGCAGACGCAGACGCATGTGACGACATGCGATGCAGAGACCGGTTCCACGGCGCTTTGTGCTTTCTAGCGGCGACCTGCCCCCCCCCCCCCCGCCCCCTAGGTCTTTCAATTTTTGCTGTGTTGTTACGAGGTCTTCCTTGCTTTCGGCCAACGCCTCTCCTGCCAGAATTTATAATGTACTAGACCGCAGGCTTCCTGACATGTGGTGTGCACCTGCAGGAAAGAGCTTTCATTCAAAGGTTGATTTTGCCTGTATTTCAGGAGAACATAAAGACACTCAACATCGCACAATTCAAAGGCGATACATATGTATATATATATATATATATATATATATATATATATGTATCTTGCGCGTGCCACGGCATCACTGGCGCTATAAGCTAAGCAATCGAACGTCGTAGACACACGAGCTGCGTGTCAGTCCAGCGCTTGGAAGTCTAAAGGGAACTCCAGAAAGATGGAATATGGCTTCATGGTAGGATACCCTATAATTTACCATAAAGGGCTTAGGATAATCATATTCCAACTTTCTGGCTTTGACTTTAGGGTGTACGGGTTCAGGTGTTTGGGTTCGGGGATGTTACGGGTTTATTTTAGGGTTTAGAGCTGTGGTCAAGGCTTCTGACCACTACTGCTTTAAGCAGATCACAAGAGTAGCTTTCGATAATGCCTGATGGACAAGGCATACTCATAGCCATTTGTCGGCTATGCTTGCCTCAGAGACAGAGAGACAGAGAGGGGAAAAGACGACAGCAACAGCGAGATTGATAATGTAGGGGCCAAAATAATTAGAATAGGGTTTGGGGGTATATTGTACTACAAGTAAAATAAGGAACCATCAAAATAGTACACGTAATATGAAGGCTACTATACTAGATCCTTATACTGATAATAGTAAAGGAACCCTATTGTAGGTAAAAAGGCCCCTACATTATAGCAAACTTATAGAACCCTTTAAAGAACCTTTGAAGGAGCTCCGAATCCTGTTCTCATTGTTTAGGCTCCTTATACCCTTTACCCGGAACGCTGAACTCTAAACCCTGAGTCCTAAACCCCTATAAACCCTAAACCCTACCCCTTTCAAGGAACCTTTGCAGGAACCTCCAAAGGAACCCTACACAAATTATTAAGGCCCCTACGGATACGCTTTGCCAAGACAGCCCGGGCTCCTGAAGCCCCCAAGGCGGCAAGCAAAGGAGCCGGGCAAAGGCTCCCAAAGAGAGACCTTGAGAGCTTCTTAGGGGCTGAGTACCTTTAGGGTTCAGGGTTCAGGGATTTTGGGGTTTAGAGTTTAGGGTTTTAGGGTTCAGGGTTTTGGGGTTTAGAGTTTAGGGTTTTAGGGTCTAGGATTTACTGTGGGCATAAGGGCTATTATAGGGATTTGGTGAGAGCTTGTGGGTTTAGGGTCGGATCTGTCGGATCGGAGACTCATAGTGCCTTTGGGCTACCAGCGACTGGTGCAGGATCTTGTGCCACTGCTGATTCTGCAGCAATCTTACCTTCGGTTAGTAGGGAATGGAAGAATGCTAGGAATAGTAGTTGTAATTGTACCCCATTCCTCCATTCCCTACTACCCTAAACCCTAAACCCTGAACCCTACTACCCAAAACCCTAAACCCTACTACCCTAACCTAAACCCTATTCCTCCATTCCTTCCAAACCAAAGGTAAGCGATACACAGCCTCAGCCTTCCCGTCCAGGATGGGTGGTGCTCGAAATTAATTTTGGGGGCCTCAACAATTAGAACAGGGCTCCTTTAAAGGGGTCTAGAAGGGCTGCTATAAGGGATCTATAAGTTACTAAAATATTGGGACGTTGAGAGCTTGGGGGTTTAGGGGTTAGGGGTTTAGGGTTTAGGGGCTTAGGGTTCAGGGTTTTAGTAGTTTAGGGGTTTAGGAGTTTAGGGGTTCAGGGTACATGAAGCTCCATTTAGGGGTTCCTTTAAGGGCTGTGTCTTTTGAGGATGAGGGCTCCAACCAAAGACCTGACGAACTGCACCTCGTACCCTACAGCTTTTACTGCAAAATCCCAAACGGTCTAGGGCTTGGTTTTTTAGGGGGCCGGGGATTAGGAGTTTCGGGGTTTAAGAACCTTTAACAGTTCATCGTATGTTATAGTACGGTATGGCATGGTATGCTAAATCATTGTTGGCCATGCCATGGTATCTTGTAGCTATGGTATAGTAAGCTGTATCGTCTACTTTAATTAGTATAGTAGAGTCTGTTATCGTATAGTATAGAACAGTGTAGGGGAACAAGCAGTAAAGAACAGTATAGCGCAATATACACTAGTGTAGAATAGCACAGCGCAGTGTAATACAGCATTGTTTGATGTAGCGTCGTCTGGTACCGTGTAGAAGTGCAAAGTATCCTATAGTGTAGTGTCATAGAGTTTAGTAGAGTAGAGTAGTTATCGTATTGTACAATTACTTGTTTTAGTATCGTAGACAATGTATTACCTATAGTCTAGTAACTAAAGCCTAAACTCTGAACCCTAAAGTCTAGTAATTAACCCCTGCACCCTAAAGTATGGAAATTGAACCCTATAGTAACTAAACCCTCAACCCTGAACCCTAAAGTTTAGTAATTAACTCGTACACCCCATTGGGACGCTGCTGACCACCGCTCCCGCGGGCACGAAGTGCGGGTGGCATCTGGCCTCTGGCAGAGTTCAGCTCTGGGGCTTTTGGGGGTTTAGGGTTTAGGTTTAGGGTTTAAGGCCTAGGGTTTAAGGAGGGTTGGTTTAGGGTTTAGGGAGGGTTTAGGGAAGGTTTAAAGTTTAGGGAGGGTTTAGGGTTTAGGCCTAGGGTTTAGGGAGGGTTGGTTTAGGGTTTCGGGTTTAGGGCCTAGGGTTTAGGGAGGGTTTAGGCTTAGGGCTTCGGGTATAGGGCTTAGGGTCTAGGGAGTGTTTAGGGTTTCGGGTTTAGGGCCTAGGGTTGAAGGCTTCGGGCCGAGGGTTTAGGGTTTCGGGTTGCAGGTCTATGGGCTTTAGAAGTTTGGGTCAGGAGGCGAACTTGTTTCCGGAGATTTTAAAGGCCTCAGAGTCTAAGCGTCTAAGGCACTTCAGGAGTGTACGAGCTGAGGGTGTCTGTGTGTTGGGTTTTCGGCCATCACAGACTCGGATTGTGACCGTGCAGATACTTGGAGGGTCGGGGGACTTGGTAGGTAGTTATTTTATAAACTTATAAGTACCATCACACCAATTAGGAACCCATTTAGGGCACTTATATCTCTACTTGCTACCTACGTACTAGTTCCCCCGACCCTCCAAGTACCGGGAGTTCCCTTGCAGCAGGCATCTCTGGGCTTCGAATTTCTAGGATTCCCTCCCGTAAACCTAGGCATAAAAAGGGCTCCCTTTTTGGCATCGCGTAGTTGCATAAAGGAGCTTAAAGTAAAAGCCAGAAAGTTGGAATTTGATTATCCTAAGCCCTTTATGGTAAATGATAGGGTATCCTACCCTGAAACCATATTCCAACTTTCTGGAGTTCCCCTTAAAGCCACGGAAAGGGGATACAGGGCCCACTCGGAGCGATCGGTGGTCCTTACACTTCGGCTACGTTGCAGCCTCTTCCCTGGGTCGAGACCCGAACACGTAAATCAGGCGGGATGTGCCTACAAAGGAAAAGCAGAGCGTTAGGGTTGAAGTTACATCGGCTCTACAAGAAGCTTTGTGTCAGGGAACTGCGGGCCTCTAGGCCCCGGATCAGCGTAGCGGTGGCCGGGGACGCCGGTCGCACTTTCCTCGGTAGGGTGTCTCAAAGCCCCGGGCCCCGGATCTTGAAGGCCCAAGCTTGTAACCTTGATCTGCTTACTACTATACTGTACTGTACTCTACTCAACTACAACCATGCTATACTATACACCTGGCTATACCATAGCATACGTCATGCCAAACTGATGGCAGCTTGCAGCCTCTGCAGACATAGCGGTGAAGACGGCATTACAGTTCATTGCCGCTTCATGTCCTAACTTGCCGAACAGCACTGATGATCGTACAGCTACTACTGTCAACAGCTGCCATACCCACGAGGAGGATGCCCACCAAAACGCTGCACTGATGTCGTGACTCTGGGGTTCGGGAGCTCATGGTTTATCATGCAAACCTTGCACCACGGATACTCACAATCTTACAGGAAGTAGAACAACACGATAAGCAGTAGCAGTAGTAGTAGTAGTAGTAGTAGTAGTAGTAGTAGTAGTAGTAGTAGTAGTAGTAGTAGTAGTAGTAGTAGTAGTAGTAGTAGTAGTAGTAGTAGTAGACTACTACTACTACTACTACTACTACTACTACTACTACTACTACTACTACTACTACTCTACTACTACTACTTACTACTACTACTACTACTACTACTACTACTACTACTACTACTCCTACTACTACTACTACTACTACTACTACTACTACGACGACTACGACTACGACTACGACTACGACTACGACTACTACTACGACTACTACTACTACTACGACTACTACTACTACTACTACTACTACTACTACTACTACTACTACTACTACTACTACTACTACTACTAGTACTAGCAGCAGTAGCAGCAATCGTCGCTGTGGCCCTCCTAGCCATGGTCCAGTCGCAGTCATCAGCAAAGCAAAGGCCGAAGTCCCTATAACCCTAAGGGTCCATTATCCTCATATAGTGGTTCATTTAAGGGTTCCTTTAAGGGTACCATCAGGGTTTAGGGTGTAAGGGCCCATGTACTCATATAGTATACGCATTGGCCTTAACGTAGTCCCTATAAAGGTTCTTTGGGGCTCATGTAGCTCTATACATGGACCCTTAGGGTAACTCGAAACCTTAAACCAAACACTCCGGCTTTGGTTAGTAGGGAATGGAGGAATGGGGTACAATTATAACTACTATTACTACCATTCTTCCATTCCCTACTAAAGGTAAGTAACTGGAAACCTTAAACCGAACCCTGCGGCCTTAATATAGGAGCCTCACCAATCTACAAAACAGTTGTGAGTGCTCCTTAATTGTTATAACTATGGAAGAATGGGCCCCAAAACCCTATTCTACTTATTCAGGCCCCTACATTATGCAAGTCTCTCCCAAAGCCACCATGGAACCTCGGAAAGGGTGCCTCCCACACCAAAACCCTACACTTCACCCTCCCAGGCCCTAAACCCTAAACCCTGCCCTAACCCCAAACCTTAGGCCCTTAACCTAGACGACTGTCCTTCGACCAAGAGCTGGAGCTACACTGAACACTGAAATTTGGGTTTAGGGTCTATAGGCTTTGGGGTGTTTAGGGGGTTTAGGAGGTTTAGGGGTTTAGGCTTTAGGGCTTTGAGGGTCTAGGGGTTTGGGGCTGTGGGGGCTTACTCGAGGGGTTGAGGCTTCGAGAATCATGGATCCTGCCGGGGCCTCTCGTGTAGGGCCCCCCCCCCCCCCCTGCGTGCGGACGGTGGCATTCGCGACCGCCTTCCAGTGCCGGAGCGCTGTCTTGTGGCAGGCCGGCTGGCTTTGTGTGCAGCTGCTTCAGGTCCTTCTCCGTTGCCTCCTCCTCCTAAACCACTGGCAATCACTTCGCCAGTGGTTTTGAGTTTTGTAACCGCAGCTTCTCAGCCGTGTCGCGGTCCAGCTGCTCGTTCTTCAACATGTCCTGGATCGTGTGCCACGGTTCTGCAACCTTCTGATGCCGGCTGGCCCGGAAGGCCATCCTCAAGGAGCTGTCTCTGCCATGCACCAGCTCCGACAACAGGTTATACGTCTCGATGCCAGGCTTAAACCCTAAACCCTAAACCCCATCATCTTGACGCGTAGAATCGGGTAATGGGGTTTGTTCATATCAGAATTGAGCCTTAAGTTACTCGAATAGGTCCTGTGGGGTACAGTCTTCTATCGCTGTATTGGGGAACCCCAAGAAATGTATCGACAACTAATAGAAAAATCCCCAACCCTGCCCCTGCCCACGACACCCAGCGTGGCCGCTTGTTCTAGAGAGACTCAGCTAAGAGCAGAGATCTTAAAGACCTCGAACCCTGCAATACACCCTAAACTTGCTGTAAACCTAAACCGCCCCAAACCCGAAGCCGCAGCGCCCTGATCCGTCATTGCAGTCCCAGGGGCGACAGGGAATTCAGCAACAAGGCCATCTGGAAGATATCACCTCCCCTAAACCCGAATCCCCTCCAAACTTATTGCGAGTACCGGGCTTCTGGTACATGGGAGTTTCCGAAAATAGGGCCTAAATAGTAGGATCCTTATTGTAAGGACCCCAAAATAAGGTACCCCTCATTTTCGGAAACTCTCACATCCGAAGGCTTGTATGCACTTTCAACTTCTGAGCGGCTAGAACACAGTTATGAAACCCAGACCTGCATCAACCCTCAATAACCCCAAAATCCAGCCCTAATGCTATAGTCTATCCTAGCATTTCTAGTAAACCCGAAACCCCTTAAACCTCTAAACCCTAAGCCCTAAACCCTATATAATGTTATATTGTAGTAGATCGTATCAGTTCGAGTAAAACCTAAACCCCTAAACCTCTAAACCCCAAAGCCCTGAAGCCTAAATGGGAGTTTCCGAAAATAGGGGACCCAATATATTACCCTAAATAGTAGGATCCTTATTATAAGGACCCCAGAATAAGGTACCCCCCATTTTCGGAAACTCCCAAATGGCCCCTCTTTCAGCCCGAGCCCTGCAGTTCCTCCACCGACACCCTGTGCACCCACCTCTGGCAAGGCTCTCTTCAGACAGCCGCACCTTACGAGTCTACTTGGCGTTTACTTACCGAGATTCTGGGAAGTGAGTTGCCAGTCTGCATTAGACAAGTTTAGTAGGGATCTAATTACAAGGGTTACTATAAGGGATCTAAAATGGGTACTATCATGTAGGGGCCTGAAGTATCCTGCAACTTACCTTTGGTTAGTAGGGAATGGAGGAATGGTGTACAGCTCTAATTACTACTACTACTACTACTACTACTACTACTACTACTACTACTACTACTACTACTACTACTACTACTACTACTACTACCATTCTTCCATTCCCGACTAACCAGAGGTAAGTTTGGACCTTATGAGTCGGCTTGGGGCTTAGAGTAACACTGGGTTGCTAGGATGCAAAGTAACCTAGGAATAGAAAGGGCTCCCTTTTTTTAGGACTACAAAAAGGGAATAAGGGTGCTACTGGGCATCCTAGAGTTTGAGGGAGGGGGTAAGACCAACAAGGGTGCGAATAAACCATGCAGAAGCTTCCATGAGACTTTTACAGAAAGGCACGAAATACACACAAACTCTCGGTAGAAGGCTTAATAACAACGACAATCAGTCAACTACTGATAATAGTAACAATCATTTGGATAACATGAATATGGTTTCGAGGCTTCCCGGTGCCAGGCGTTGCCAGCCCTTCAACCTTAAACCCAGCCCCTAAACCCTAAACCAATGCTGCCTGGCCTACACCGTCACTTCAAATTCCGCTTGTTGGTCACCCTGTGTCCTTGCTCAGGGATCCAACCATAAACTGTTTCTCCAGGTGGATCCCCCCACAACCACAAGGACGCCACGTCGGAAGGTCCGGGTGGTGCAAACGCTTACCAAGCTGAATACAGGCTCCTGGCCAGGTATGTCCGGAACCCCAAACTCTACATGCTTCCACCTTGGAAGAACCTGCAACTGGATCCGACAACACCAAGGAAGCCATACACTTATGGAAAAGGTGAAGGCCTTGCCTCCCCAAGCCGTAAACCCTACTATAGGCCCCTTAAGAATTAGAGTAGGGTTTTGGGCCCATTGTACTATAAGCCTAATAAGAAATAGGTATTTGTAAAGGCCTCTACATTAAATCCATCTAATAGCCCTTGTGATAGCCCTTTTGGACCTCTTTAAAGGAACCCTGATAGAACCCCTATAGATCCCTTTGAAGTAAGGGACACCTTAAACCGCAAGTCCGCATTTCAGGTCCCGCCGGGTGTTCAGTTGGAGGTCTGCGGTGCCTTGGGCTTAGGGTTTTTTCTACCCCACCCAGTGGGCAGCCTGAGGGTTTAGGGTTTAGTTTAGGGTTTAGGGTTTAGGGTTTAGGGTTTAGGGTTTAGGGTTTAGGGTTTAGGGTTACGCATAGGCTCCAAAGTGGTTCCTTCTTGGGGTTCATTGGGTTCATAGATAGAGTCCTATAAGGTAATCCCACGAGGGAACTACTATGGAGCCTATGGGGAGAGTACAATTCAAAGATTTCCCTGAGCACCCGAAGAATTGGAGTTTTCCTCAGCTCCGCCATTCAACAGCCTCACAACGACTCCCCGAACCTCCGAGGAGGATAGGGCTACTTACAGTTAAGGGTTTAGGGTTCGGGTTTCGAGTTTAGGGTTCGGGGGGCAGGGCCCGAATCCATTTGGCAGAGCTGTTGCTAAGGCTTGCGCTGCATCGAAAGATGGTTCTACGGCAGCAGAGATGTCCTGGGTGGATATTCCGCCGCAGCTGTGGGCTGTAATATAGGGGTCTAAATAATTACCAATACTATTTTAGGGGGTTCCTTGTTATATGAATATAACATAATCACTGGGCCCCTAAACCCTATTCGAATTACTAGGGCCCCTATAGTAGGCTGTAGGGCGACCCTGCTTGTTGAAGGCTTGCACAGTCCAAAGCTTACAAGTGAAGAGTGGTTGGGGTTGAAGGATACTCGAAAAGCAGAACCCTCGCTGTGAGGCCGACCTGGCACTCTTAGGCGTAAGCACAGAAATGACGTCAGTGCTTGACCGGTGCAAAAACCGCCCGTACGCAACGAGCGGATGAGGTCTGGGCGGTTGTTTGGATATGACATTGGTGAAGAGCAGCTCACGGTGGTGATGAAAACGACAGTGGTGGTGACTGATAGTGGTGGCGATGGCGATTCCGCAACACAGCCCTTTATGCTCATTGACCCCTAAACCCTCAACCCTAAGCCCTTATCATGACTGGCTTGATCATGGCAACGGGTACGAACCCGTACTTCTGCTGTCAGCAAGTCGGAGAGCCGATAAGAATAGAGTCGGATCTGTAGGATCCTGGATTAAGGACAACTGGTGCTGGGACACCCTATACATTGCTCTTAAGGATTGAGCTATTGGGTTTCCAACTTTTGGGCTTCGCCTGTAGTGCTTCGGCTACCAACGACTGGCGCACAAGTGTGTACCAGTGCTGTTTCTGCAGCAAGGGTGGTTCTCGAAACTAAGCACACCGAATGCGAAGAGAGTGAGTGGGGGAGAGACAGCCAGCGTGAGACAAGCAGTTCATAAATGCATGCACACCCCGAGATGCACGCAGAGCATGAACGCATTGGAGTATCACACATCAACACACAGTTATGCTAGCATGAATAAAAACTTAAACAGAGTGACATACTATAGCATACAAGTTGACACAAGTGCATGAACACGTGGGCGCTGCAATACTTACGTATATTGGCATGCATGCATGCATACACATGCACACATGCTTTCCCTAGTTAGTCTTAATAGTCAATGCTGGCATCGAATGCTCAACGGTGAGGAGTCAAACCAGTGGGATCAAGGTGAGGACTAACATGTGGAGAACTTGTAAAACCGGCTTGGTCGAAGGTCCAATTTAGGGGCCTTACTGCTTGGAATCAGGCTTTGGGATTAATATGCCAACCCCTCAAACTCCTAAACCCCTAAACCCTATAAACCCCAGCCAGGGCCCGCGCTGCCGGCAAGGGCTGCCTTCAGAAAGGGAGACAGTGATCCTACGGAAGCAGGTGCCTCAGGAGTTCTATATGTGTTTGGGGCTTCATCTTGATTAGAGCAGGGTTCTGTTGCTATTAGCTATACTATCATATCTCACAGTCAGAAGTAATACTGGGAATTATCCAGTCGTTTATTCTTGTCTCGGCGGCCTGCAATGTCGGGCTTCTGGGTTCAGGGCGATGGTTGGTCATTTTTCAGGCCCGGTGGCTGCAACCTACAAATGTAGAGGTCGGAACAGTTCTTTGCAAATTTCCCTATACCCAGAGGCCCCAAAGTTCCTTTTTGGGATTACCTTATAGGATTCTATCTATGAACCCCAAAAAAGAACTTTGGGGCCTTTGGGTAGTTACCATGGTAAATATGTGAAAAATACCTCAAAACCTAGTCTAATCAACTAGGCCCCTATGCTATGAACAGTTGAGCGGTTAGTTAGAGAACCGCTGTAATCCGAGAGGAGCATCCCAAACCCCTCAACCCACGCCCGCAATCCGAAGCACAAGTTGGCACTCCAAACCCCTCGAAGCCCCGTACATAGAGGCTCATACCCTACCCCTTTTTCCAGGTACCTCATTTTCTATATAACAGATCCTAACCATAAAACTTGATATGCTGAAAAAGGGGTAAGCTATGACCCTCTAGGTAGACCCCCAAACTCGTGAACCCGAAAGCACTCCCAAGTTGAACCCAAGAGCCGCAATCACGTGGCTGAAGCCTGGATAAAGCCTGAGCGTCAACCTTCCTAAACCTTACCGTCGGTTAGTAGGGAATGGAGGAATGGGGTATAGTTATAACTACTATTACTACCATGCTTCCATTCCCTACTAACCAAAGGTAAGAAAACCAGCCTGCGAGATCATGAAACTGGAAAACGCTACATCGACACATACACACATACATTTGAAGTCAATACCAAGCCCCACCCCAAACCCGTAGCCCTAAACCGTATATAAAGCCACAAGCCCTAAACCTCACTGCCGAGAGCCCAGCTTCAGGAAATGAGCCAACGAGTTCAGCAGTGATGCGACTTCCTGGCAAGCACTGAGGTTTTGGGGTTGAGGCTTATCTTTTCAGAGATCAGTGGTCAGCATGTAAGCTCTCCGTGGCTCTATAAAGCCTATGAAATGTGAATCTCGGCCGAATCAGTTGCCAGCTGCTAGCTCCTCGCATTCAGAACATCATGCTGTCAGATGAATGCACAAGCGATCAGGCTGCTTTTGTGTTGCGGGGGGGGGGGGGGGGGTGTGTGTTCTGTTCTATGCAGAAGGAACACTCTCGCCAGCATCCCTAAAGCCGAAATCTTTGACCCCAACATTCAGGTGTTGAAGACGCTTGCCGGACTTGACGATGATTTGAACTGGGAGTTTCCGAAAATATGGGTACCTTGTTTGGGGTCCTTATACAAAGGATCCTACTACATAGGGTACTATATTATATATGTGTCCCCTATTTTTCGGAAACCCCCCAACTAGCTTTCAGATCATCGAGTTAATCCTACTTGTCGGGTATCATGGCGAACTAAAGGCTAACCGTTTTGGTTAGGATTTAGGGTTTAGGGTCAGGGACATGGGGAACTAAAGGTTAATCTTTTTGGTTATATAGGGATTCTATAGGAGCTATACTACCCAAGAAAGGTTCAAGGTTCCCTACTCTACTATTAGGTAGTAGTTCGAGCATTACGGTTCAGGGGGGTTGGAGACGCGAGGAGGTTGATTTAATCTTCGGGCTCAGGCGTCCATCTCGCTGATGCAAATGGCGCATGTCTTTGCGATTCGGACCTACTGCTCAAGCCTGGTTTAGGTTGTGGGATGAGCAGTTTAACGATTAAATTAGGATATAATAGAGTTCAGAGGGTCAAGCACACAGCCCTGCGACCGAATCCCACAAGCCGTTTTAATAAACCCCGCACCCGAAGTCCCTAAACAAAACATCAATACTCTAAACCCTGAACTCTGAAGCCTATAAGACCCTAAACTAAACACCAACCCTCAAACCCTCACCCGAGAAGCCAAAAACCCCTCGGACTGAACCCTGAATCCGTTCACTCCCTTAGACCTACCGAGGAGCCCTGGAGGCTCTGACTTCAAGAAGACCTATAGTCTCCGGTATAGTTCCTTTTTGGGGTTACCTTTTAGGATTCTTCATATAAGCTTGGTTAAACCAAAAAAGGAACTACAATGGAGACTATAGGCAGCCCTTGAGACCAGGGTGTAAACCCAGGGTCAGTATGGGCGCCGTGATAATTTGAGTAGGTCTTGGCTTCAAGCATAGTATGTCAAACTTGGGAAACAAACGGGGGTAGTATGTAAGGCAATACCAAAGCCCCGATATCCTGCATCACGCTTAGCCTTTCGACCCGCAAGTAAACACATCTCTGCTACACTTGTGGAGTTTGTTCCTGAACCCCTGAAGCCTTAAACTTGGAACCTTTGGCCCTTTGCTGCGATAACACCCTGAAGCCCTCAGGCCTAAACGCACAGAACCCAATACCCGCCCATAATGGCATAATGGAGTAACGTGCCCTAACTCATGTGTTTTATGTGTAAATGAATGTATCTAAATACTATCTATCTATTTATCTAACTATCTATCTACATTCCATATATACACACACATATATATAACTAGCTAAGTCACTGACTTATCTAGTTCTTCATTCATGTATTCATTTACCTAATTGATTAATTGCTTGTCTGTCTGTATGTATGTATGAATGTACATAAGGGCCCTGAACAAACAACAGGGTTTGGGGCATAGGGTACTCTACGGGCCTTCTCATTAGAATAGGGTTTTGGGGCCCACTACAGTATAATCATAATAAGGAAGGCCCCCAAAATGTTGCAGGCAACTAGTTTGGCCCCTATATGAACCCTTATATAGATCCCTTTAAAGGAAAGGGTTACCCTTATAAGCCCTGAGAACACCCTTCTCTAGGGCACCAAAAAAGCACATCAGCAAAATTAGGATAGAGTTCTCCCATATAAATCCCGTTATGATGAAGCCCAACAAGGTAGGGATATCCCTATAAAATGTGTTTGCTAAACCCCTTATAGATCCCTTTAAGGATCCCTTGAAGGACCCTTAAACCCTAAGGGTCCAAGTACCCAAATACTAGGGTTTCAGGGTCCACAGACCATCCAGAGTGGACCTAACCTAGAAGCCCATTACAGGTGGGTAGTTCCTCTTCCATAGTACTCCCATAAGACCCCTTTGCCTTATAGGAGTGGTATGGAAGGCTTATGGGAGACTACCCACCTTAAAACTACCCACCTGTAAATGGCTTAGATAACCGTCTCCTTGCATCCAAGGGTCTCCCAGCTCTGTACAGAGCTTGGCTGCGGACCCCAAAGCAGAGAAGATTTTGCCGTCCTCTGTAATTACATAAACTCCCATATCCCTAGGCTTCCTTTAAGGGATCCTATTCGGGATCTATGGGGTTTAGGGTTTACGGGGTTCCAATATCCCCAAGGAATATACCTTAAAATTATGGTTTAAGGTATATTCCTTCATTAGATTTTGCCGTTCCTCTGTAATTACGCTGGGGCTCCAGTTACCTAAATAGTAGGATACTGGAACACATACTATGTGGTTAGTAACCTACTATTTAGGTTAAGGGTTACAGAATGTAAGATTAGTTATCAGGAACCAACTGGTACGGCTGATGATATAAATCCTGCATGGCCCATAACAAGGAATATACCATAAATCCCATCGTTTAGGGTCCTTTAGGTAATGTAGGATGTATTTTATATCATCAACCGTATCACATTCTAGGATATTGCATTATTAAAAGAAGGATGAGGTCGGCGATTCCAGCTCAGGCTGGGAGGGTTCAGGGGTTTTAGGGTTAGGGCTTTCAGGGTTTCATTTAGTGTTCCGGATTTAGGGTGCACAGTGTTAGGGTTCAGGGTTCAATCAGGGTTTAGGGTTCAAGGTTTGGTAGGATGGAGGGTTATTAGATTAGAACGTAAGGAGCAATTTTCATGTGGGCAACAAGGTTCAGGCTAAGGACGATTTCCAGCTTGGAAACCTTAAGCGGTAAGCCTCTATAATTCAGAGCCTCAAGGGGAGAGAGTGTGGGGTCCGAGGCCATTTCGTTTTGGGGTTTTGTTGTATGATGACTCGCACAACTCGTACTAGCCTGCCGACATCGGCGCATGTAAGTCACGACGTACCGGGCAAACATCACTATGTGGTTTTAGGGTTTTCGGGCTTGGGTTTAGGGTGCGCCTTGGTCATTTGGCTGGAAGTGGCTAGAAAGGGCATGAGGCCATGTTCATGTGTCAACAATTAAACTTCCTCGGCGTTTCCTTTTGTTTGCGAGCTTGATCAAGTGGATGCATTTGTTCTTTTCTTCGCTTGCTTGGTGACTCAGTCCACAAACCCTAAACGGTCGCCGTAAACCCACAACCCCGAATTGCTAAACCCTGCGACCCCGCAATCCCTACTCCCTACGTCCCTGAATCATTAAGTCCATAAATTTTAAACCCTACACGCCGTGGTCTGGCGCACCGAACACTGTTATAGGCGATGCTGTCCCTTAAATCACAGGAGCCAGGTTTCTTGACTTTCCTTATATACTGGAACCGATAGCACTGCTCTCGGACGGTTCTCCCATGGAGCGCGGCTACCTCTAGAGTGGGTTGCTGCTAAACAGGCCTCGTTGTAACATAGGGGCCTTGGCAATCAGAATAGGGTTTAGGATACATTTCTAAATAAGTATAATACAGTAGTAAGGAACCCCGACATAGTATCGGCTTTTACTTAGGCCCCTAACTGGCTCATTATGTGGATCCCTGGGCCCTGACTTCTTCATGTCAGGCCAAAGAACACTATTAGATGCCTGCTTATTCCACTCGTCGAGATCTACAGTGCTACTTCAAGATAATATATCGGGGTCTTCGGAAATAGACTAGGGTGTCGGGTACATTTTTGGTATAGCTAGAATAAGGAGCTGAATAAGGAACACTAAAGACTGGTAGAATTACCGAGGCAGTTGAGAGTCCATCATTAACAACATAAGGACGTGAGATGTAGGCCCCGAGCGAGAAGACCGGTCCTCTAAATTGAAGATTCAAGAGTGTCCCGTCGACCATGCACCTCCATGACACACCCCTGTCCTTTTAGAAATAATACACAGAGCCCTATACCTATATCCCTAGTAGGAATTATTTGAGAAGGTCTACTAGCCGGTCTGCTTATTCTTTTGGGGGAACCCCATGAAAAAAGGAGAAGGCTGCCATGACATCTTAACCGAAGCAAAATCCCAAAGAAGCTAAGCGGGCGGGCCCAGTACTCCAGCCGTGCCAGCGCACCTGGCAAACTCAACTGCGGACCACACCACACCCCAAACCCTAAACTTATGTACTGTTCCCCTAAACCCTAAGCCCCCACACGATACCCAAAACCCTTAACTTCTGTACTGTTCCCCTAAACCCTAAGGCCCCACACAATACCCCAAATCCTAAACTTATGTACTGTTCCCCTACACCCTAAAACCCTAAACCCCCACGCCATACCCCAAACCCTAAACCTATGTACTCAAACCCTAAACCCCAAACCCCCACACAATACCCCAAACAAAACCCACACACAATACCCCAAACTCTAAACGCCAAACACCCACACAATACCCCCAACTCTAAACCCCAAACCCCAACACGATACCCCAAACTCTAAACCTATGTGCCATACCCGAAGCTACCAGCCTTGAATCTGAAACGCCCACAGTGCTTTGCAAAGACACCCTACCTATAGTAGAAGCCAGAAAAGTTGGAACATCAGGATCCTCATGCCCTTAAGGTAAAGTATAAGGGATCCTAGCACTAATCCTCCTAAGGTCATGTTACAACTTTCTGGCTTCTACTATATAGTCTCTCTTGTAGTTCCTTGTGTTGTTCAACCAGCTTTATGGTTAAGATCTTAAAACATAAATCTTCGGAGACTATAGGTAATATGGAATCCTGATCCGTCAGCCTTCCAAGATACCCGGTCCCCGCAAAAAATACGGAGGCTGGCGTTCGGCCCCTTTTTTGCCAAGGGCTTCTTGGAGGACCACGGGACTTAGTAAGTAGGGTTGTAAGTAAGGTAACTATAGTTATATCTACTTATAACCCCAAATAAGGTACTTATAACCCTACTTACTAAGTCCCATGATCCTCCACGTTGGGTTTTAGGCTAAACCCTTCAGGGATTTTGGTTTCGTCGCCTTCGGCTTTGTCCTGGAACTGTCAGGGCGGTCCAAAGACCCCCGAAACTCCAGCCCCACAACCCCCGAACCCCGTCACCTGAACACTAAACCCTAACCTCTAAACTCTAAACCCTAAACCACTAAACCCTAACCTCTAAACCCCAGAAGAGACCCAAAAGACTCCAAGCCTCGAGACGCCAAGCCCACTTAGTATCACACTGCCTAGAGGGTCATACCCTACCCCCTTTTCTAGGATACCTAGTATTATATGTTTAGGATCTGTTATATAGACAATTAGGTACCTTTACAAAAGGGCTGGGGTATGAGCCTCTAGGTGATGGGCTACCTCCACTTCCAGGCTCCTGCAACACCGGGTTCTTCTTACGGGGTTTAGTTCGAGCTACCCAAGAAAAACATATTATGTACTATAGATCCGTATTATGGTAACTGTAAGCCAGATAACCTAACAAAAACCCAGAACATCTCTACAGCCCTAAAGGCAGACCAAGCCGCTGGATGCCTCTCCAAAATATTTAGTGAGAGTTTACTTGGGGGTTCATGGGTAGTTCTGAGTAGGTTTATAAGTAGGGTAACTATACTTATGACCCATACTAGAGGCATTATAACCCCACTGTAACTACCCATGAACCTCCAAGTAGGGTTCACCTATACTATCCGTTGTAGTTCCTTTCTTGGGTTACCTTGTTTTTTGAAGACCCCGGATATAAGAATGGTTAGACCAGAACAAGGTTACAATGGAGACTATAGGTAGGGCCTGGGTAAGCAGATTAGAGCTTTGCGTATCGTATGGTTCAGCTACATATCCTACGGTTCATGATATGAATCCTGCGTTGTCCATAATAAGGAATTTTCCACAAATCCCCTAGTTTAGAGAACCCTGAGTACGATTAGTTGTTTTTCCGCCCCACACAGCAACCCTACAGTTAGGTCTTATGGTTTTTGTTCTAGGATCCCGAATAGCCAAGGAAAGATGAGGGCTCCCTTTTGGGTTTTAGGTAGTATATGGGTGGTTGTCAAAACTATGATCCCTCTTTGGGTCCCTATTATAATACGGCACCTAATTTAGGGTACCCAAAAAGGGACCCTCATTGTTGAGGAATCTAAGGCCACAAAAGGGAACCAGGGCTCTGGGAGACCTAGCGCTTGGTCCCTGGAGAGATCTGCTGAACTCGAGTTTCGCGGGTGTGGTTCGTCTCTTGTGTGTGGCGGACCTGGAGGCTCATACCCTACCCATTGGTTTAAGGTACCTAACTTTCTATACAAAAAACCTAACCATAAAACTAGGTATCTTAAAAAAGGGGTAGGGTATGACCCTCTAGGGACTCGAGTGCCTAGTTGTCAGCCGAGTGAGAAGGAAACTGCAGCAAGGCTTCAAGAGTCTTCAACTGTGCAGAGTCCGATCATTGACTGCCACTACGGCTTAGGGATTGGGGTTTACTCTGAACCCTAAACCCTGAATGCCAACCCCTACAGTTTAAGGTGTAGGAATTTGAGATTGAACCCTCACCCTTAGTCTGGGGTCATAAATAAGGTAACTAAACTTATGAGCACTTCTAAGCCCTGAAGGTACTTCTAACCTGACTTACTAAGTCCCTTAAACCCTAAGTCATAATCGTAATTCCCAAGACGGAAACCCTACATTCTACTATATCGCTACATAGGACCTTTGGGTCTTAAAGTCTGTGACTTTACCAGCCCTGACTCGTAAGACCTCGCCGGCTGTGCTTGCCAGGTTCGAAACGTCCTGGTCGGTAACAGCCAGCCTATTCCCGTGACCCCTAACCCTGCAAGTATAATAAATCAGTAGGTTACCCCTGAACTGGAGACAGAACCTTTGAACCAGTAGTTCCAGGCAATTTGAAGCTCATACCTGCTCTTCTGTTTTTTGTTTTATCTCTGTGTGCTGTAAGCACTGTGGGGATGTTGATGATTTCCGGCATATCCAGATTCCATGGAAATCTCTAGGGCCGTGCTACGGATTGGGAGTTAAGCTTCTCCTGTCCGTTCTTGAGACCCTTTTCGATTTAGAGTTTGTTTCCCGGGCTTTCTGAATCTTTGCAAGGCTTGTAGGATCCTCCTGCGGCCGGGCTTCAACCTCAAGCTTGTCTGTGCTAACTCAACGACTTAAGCTCTTTGGACGGATCATGGAAAGAGATTATATCAACCACCACTTTACTTCATGGCGCACGTGTACTCAATAAGAACACGGCTTCTTGCCTTTATGCACCAGGCGATAAACATGTGTGCTACTTTCTTCTGCTTTGAAGACCTGACGCTGCAAGCAAAATACGAAATGCAACGCACTGTCGTTACACAGCTTCGTGTGAGGGCGACTGCCAATCTACATTCCTAAGAAACAATAACAGAACCGGAAAGAAAGTAATGACAATACCAACGATCATAGCTCTACACTCAGAGATCATAGTTATGAAATCAGAGTCCCAGTTTTTCTGACTATGAAACGATAGGGGGGTGCTTGCGGAGGTCAGTTCGTGACCTGAAGATCGACCATGGGGCTTTAGGCACAACTACATAAAGGCTAATGCCTCAGACCTTTCTATTGAAGAATGCGCATACTTCTCTGAAAGCAGCAGCGCTGGTGAGGCCGCAATGCTATGACTGAAATACTCATCTGTGCACCCCCGAACGTCTGTACGAACCCTTATTGTGCCCCCTATAGTATCCCACTTCGTACCCGTCATTGTTCTGTGTTGCAAGACGGCTCCGAATCTACTGAGTATGACGGCGTGGTCCGATCTTCGGCTTCTACAAGTACTTAAAGCTGGGTGTGGGATTCCTGGGAGTCTAAGTGTAGGGTTTTTGGGTGCGGGGTCTCGACTTGAGGGCTTAGGAGTCTTGGGGTTTTAGGCTGAAGCCCTAAATCCTACCTGACTTGGTAGACTCGCCCAAAGTATAGCGTAAACTAAGATGCGTCGAGCCTTAGGCAAAACAGCAAACTCGAGATCAGTGTGAGCCTTATATGAATAGTCGATGATAGTCTATGGCATTATAGGTCACTTAAACCAACTACGCCAATAGGGAGGTGATGATTAATTAAAACCGGGCATTGGGCATCTCTTCATTAGTATATAACTGGCTACCCATACGTCCTTTCTAAATCCAAAAACAAGCGGTGTCCTGTGAGTTCCACTGGTCCTTTCGCAGCAGCAGTTCTTTGGTGGCCTTTCCCAACAGGCCGCAAAGCAATTTTCACTCCAGCTAAGGTGCTTGCGGTTTGCTGAGGTCTCAAAGCCCTAAACCTTAAACCCGAAACATCCAAGGCTGAACCTAGACAGCCTAAACCCCCAAACATAACACAAATAGTACACGGAAAGCCTCAAGCCACAAACCCTGCAGACAAACAGCCGCTGCTGATACTGCTTATACTGCTACTGTTACTGCTACTGCTGCTGCTGCTGCCGCTGCTGCGACGTCGACTTTATTGCTACCACTAACTAGCGAACCAAGACGCGACCACCCAACTGAGGCATTTCTTCGGCAACGAGTAGAACTCAGTCTGAGGTGACTCAAGCGACAGAACATGAACATTTGGGTTTAAGATTTAGGGTTTACTTGCTGAGACTCCACTGGGATTCTTCTTAAGGAACGGACCCTAGAGAAACACAGTGATTGCTCCAGAAGCTGCAACAGCAACATGCAACCGGGAACTTGTTCGCATGCTTATGTATCAGGTCCGTGCAACCTAAGAGTCCGCAAGGATCAGCATGTCCCTACTGCCAGTAGCGGCACAGTTGCCTTGGGACTTCAATGATTCGGGGTTCGACCATCACGTTTACACTTTGCATAGCGGCCCCTTTCAATGTCCATACTTGTCTTACTTATCTTCGAATGTAACGTATTCCCAGACGGTCCAAGTACCAGTACAGCATATACTTTGGGGGCCCAAATAGCGACCAGGACCTCAACCCTAAACCCCAAACCCCCAAACCCTAAACCCTAAACCCCAAACCCGAAACCCTAAACCCTTCCCTAAACCCTTAACCCTTAATCCGTAAACGATTGAACGCCTGAGCCGGGGGCCAGACGGTTGAGAGCAGCGCGAGGTCTCGCAGACCGAGTTGAGCAAAGGCAGCCAAGACGTTCACCAGGTTTTGCACCTCTTTAGTAAAACCCTGAACCCTAAACTCTTAAGGTTATGAGTTCTTATTTGTGCTGTTCTTACTGTTAATATTGCTAATACGATGACAATTCTTATTGTTGCTACTCGTACCACTATCGCTTATCATTGTTATTACTAGTAGTAGTCGCAATGATTTGGTTCTTATTTTTTTGTATGGCGGTTGGGAGCTTCTGCGGGCAGAGGATGTTTAGGTTGCAACGACATTTTGATTTCGGTTGTTGCAAGTATAGGTTGGGCCTAGGGACTAGGGGCTTAGGGTACAGGTTTGGCTTGGGGCCAGGGATTGGGGTGAAGGGTATAGGTTTGACCCTAAACCCAAAACCTAAAACCCTGATCAGGGTATAGGTTTGGTTTAGGGATGGGGGGTTCTAGGTTTGGTATTTCAGACCATGGTTTATCTTTGCAGGGTGTGCTGCAGGGGTGCTACACCTTCGTGTGATGTCTCATACTACACGATTTTCAAGTCGAAGGAGCAACTAGCGAAAAAGTTTGGAATCAATCGTCAAAGTGGCAATCTCAGCACTCACAAACACAGGAAGCAATAGGGAAGCAGCGAGAGGGTTGGATGGGAAGAGGAAGAGACACAGAAGAAGAGGCAGGGAAAGAGAGATGTGTGTATCCTCAAAACACCAAACCACAGACACAGCCACGGCGCCACGGCCACACAGACAAACTCACACGCAGACATCCCACACACACACAAACAAAAAAAAACAGTGCCCCTACCCATGTTTGCGCATGCCTCCCCACCTCCCTGCCTGCGTCATACGGAGACTCTTTGCGTGCCAGCCCGCCTACCTACAGACACAAATACGCACATGCTTTCATGTATAGATACTGCCTACCTACCTACCACCTACCTACATACATCTTTACGTAAAGAAATACATACAATCATTCAAGCAGACATACACACATACACACGTACGTACATCCAGGCATCCATCCATCCAACCATCCATCCATATATATATATATATATATATATATGCACACAAAGCACTTGTATAATTACAACATGGCATAGCTGGAGCGTGACATGCCATGCCACGCCATGCAACGCACAGCACAGCATGGCAACGGTGTGGAAAAACAACACATAACTATGACATAGCCTATCAGAGCGCAGCAAGGTATGCAACGACATAGTGTAACATATCGTATCATATCATGTATGTAATGAGTTAATGTCACATCCAGTCATATCATAACAGTCAACATAGCATAATGCAATTTAGCAGCTGCGCGAACCGTGCGTAGATACTCGTCCGAGCTCCTGCGTTCCTTTATACAGACCCGAGCTATTAGCATGCAGTAGAACCGATGTTGATAGACTGCTGGGCGAAGAATAGTACCCTAAACCCTAAACCCGAAGCAGATCAACACAGAGAACGACAGAGAGGCAAGTGGCCAGATGTAGGGGACAACCCTAAACCCTAAACCTCAAAGAACAGATATGAACTTGGAGAATACCCATAGGCTCCACACTCGTTCCGTTTTGGGGTTTATATTCAGAATCCTGAAAAGTAATCCCAAAAAGTAACTACTACGGAGACTATGAACATGCCGTAGGGCCTAAGTTACCTAAATAGTAGGTTACTAACCATGTATTACTATATACTCCAGTAACCTACTACTAGTATTTAGGAACCCTTGATAATAGTATTATAAGGACCCCCAAAATAAGGTACCCCTAATTTTCGGAAACGCCCATATACACAGACGAACAGAATCGCCGGCACCGCAGTCGTCCGCCTGGTAGTTCTTTGCACCATCCACAACCTGCCGGGTAGCTTCTGCTGTGGATTGGATGGGCCACGATTTAGGTTCCGGAATATCCTGCATACATAAAATCTTCGCACAAGATGTAAGGTGTACAAGGGTTCGGGGGGGGTGGCTGTGACTTGATTTTGCCCCCCCCCCCCCCCCGCTTGTACTCCACATCCTATGTCGTTTCCCCAGCGCCAGTTATCCAGGTTTCGAAGATTTGCAACTGCGGTCAGCATGTACTGTAACTGCATGCATGCATGTGCATACCTGGCATGCATATAATACTTATATACGCGGTTCTGATGCTAACCACGTATATAAGTATTATATACATGCCGCGTATGCACATGCATGCAGGCAGGCAGGCAGACAGGATTGCAGGCAGGCCTGCAGCAACACCTTCAAAACAGACCGCAGTTGCAGTAGATCTTCTGCAGGGGGGTCCTAACAGGCCTGAGCATGAAAGACTTGGGTGTTTGGTTGGCTTTGTTCCTGAGCCAGCCAAGGCAAACATCCAGCAAAGTGGCGCCATACTCCAAATCCTAAACGAAAACACGGCAGTCCCTAAACCCCAAACAACCTAAACCCTGAATCAACCCTCAATCCCCTAAATCCTAAATCCCCTGAACCCTAAACCCCTCAACCCTAAACCCCGAAACCCCAAACCACTTAAACCCTGAACCGAAGCAGCACAAGCAGTTACAGAAGGCGGGGGGCCTGTTGAGCAGCTTGGGAAAACCAAACTTCCACGCGTGTCAGCATGCCTGCAGGAATTAGGGGTTCAGGGTTTAGAGGTTTAGGGTTTAGGGTTAAACGCCTTATATAGTTTGGCTTCTTGGACAAAAGCTCAAAAATCTGAATCTCGGAGCCTGAGGGTTAAGGTTGAAAAGGGTGAAACGGGTTCAGGGTTTAGGGTTGAAGGTATAGGAGCAAGTTTCACTGTCCCGCTCAAGGGATCTGAGGCTTAGGAATTTAGGGTTCAGGGTTGTTGCTGAGCGAGGATATGTTCCAGTGCATCCACGGGTGTGGCAGTTTATGTCTGCGAGTTTAGAGGTTCAGACTTTAGTGTGCAGTAGGGGGTATACAGTGTACGATTCTGGGTAGCTGCAGTATTATTCATGTCACGCTTTATGCTAGGTGCCTCCACTGCTACCTGCCACCAGGTTTGTGCAGTTGCTAGGACCCCTGCTCCCAAATGTTCCTGGTCAGTGGGAAGATGGCAGAGCAGGTAATATAGGGGCCTTAATAGTTGAAAGAGGGCTCCTACTTTAAAGGGGTCTAGAAGGGCTCTTATAAGTAGTTAGTATAGGGGCCTTACTAATTAGATTAGGGTTTTGGGGTACTATATACTATAACCCCACGATGATACAGGTACTTCCTGAGACCCCTAAATAGTAAAGGCAGTGTCCCTTCGTTCCACTATGCTCCACCTTTCGTATACAGACTGGCAGCTCTCGCCAACGCAAGATGACACGTCAACTGTATGTCTGAACGCTGCTGATGGGTGCATCATTCAGAAAATCTGCTCCATGTTCATTATCGGTTTGGGGTTTAGGCTTTAGGGTTTAGGGTTTAGTCCTTTTACAGACCCAACCCATCTGCTGTTGACCGTTTTTCAGATCAGGCCCTGCCAAACACTGAAACTCAATCTTCAACCATGTACAGCAGGCCTTCTCTACTCGAACCCATGTCTCACAATTGCCCGAACTCGGGTCAAGATGGGTTCGCTACGATCGATTCTCAAGGTTCGGTTTCCCTTCTCCTTGAACAATGCCCGGCCAAACCGAACACGTGCGGCGAGCCTGCTCTTTTCAAGTCCTAGGGTTCGGGTGCAGCCATTGGCTTACCAAGGGTTCCGGAGTGATTTGGGGTTTCGGGTTAAGGGGTTTGGACCCTATTAACCCTAAGCCCTGAACCCTAAACCAAGCCGTCTAATAAGCCTTTCCAAGAAAGACTACAGGTTCTGTTAAGGGTGCGAGGCTTCTTTGCTAAGGTTTCGGGGGTTTGGTTTGGAATCTGGACTACAGCAACGGCACTGCTTAAGAAATCATTGGTTTAAGACATTAACTGTTTCTTAACCGACGCTGTCGCAGGACAATACTTATGGACGCTAGATCCGCAATACGACCAGGCTCATCGGAGGCTAACCTCAGGAGTAGTTGCGTTCAAGTCAGTCCAGGAATTAGTCTTCAGTTGGGGCCTGTTCCAAAGGAGATCCACAGGAGGCATGTGAAGAAATCTTAGGGTTCCTTTTAAGGGGGTCTATGAGGAATACGATAAGGGATTTATAAATTAAGGCCCCTCATACGAGTACAATCTAGTCGAGCTGCTGTGGTGTAGTCAACTTCTGTTCGTAGATGTGCCCTTCACGAAACTCTAACCTTATCTGTCTGGTGCAGTGGAGGCAAAGGTGCTGAACCCTAGCCCCACGGGTCACGGCAATGTACTCAACGACATGGCCTTAAGCACTGGACTTAAACATGTAAACGTAAAACCGACCACCTCAACTCTTCACAAACATCACAAAACCAGACACTGCGGAAGAGAAGCACAGTTGACGGTGGACAATGTGACCCCTAAACTCCTAAACCTCCAATTGCAATGGCACGTTGGTGCATTTCATGAGTAAGCGAGAGTAGAAGGTTTGGGTAGCTGAGATCATCTGATCTGTTTTACCTGATCTGTTCTCATCCTCGAGGTAGCTTACGGAAGCGATGGCTCGCGAATTAGGACTGGCTCGCACATGCCCAAGTACTAGACCTTCCCACGACCACTAGTCGTAATCACCCCAAAGACCTCAACCATATCTTGCAAGGCGAGCTTCTGGAACGAACTTGCTGTACGCATTCCTTGCTTGGTGGGAGCTTCTGTTTGCATTCGGTACATTGCGTTGCTGGTTCCACCTGCTAGACCGAGTCTGAGGAACAAGCACCGTTCAACGGAACACAATGCATGTTCAATGGCTTTTTCCGGGGGGCCAGGCACGCGAAATGAGCTTGCGCAGTCCACCGTTGTTCCCCGTTCTCAACCTCAATCCTTGACTGCAAGTCCGAAACCCTACATCGCGGCGGGGCTCGAGTAGAGGCTTGTAAGCAGGGTTAGTATGTTGTAGCATGCCTGATGGTTTACAGCGCCCCGGAAAACCATTAAACTGAAGTTCGTGGAAATATAGACAAAGTGGTAGACGTAGTGGTATGTAGAAATAAGCACAAGTAGCCGTAGGAGTAGACAGAACGGTCATTGAAATGGTAGTAGCGATGGCAGCAGCACTGCGGCAGCAAAAGCAATAGCAGCGTCTGAAAAAAAGTGGCAACAGCAACGGCAATAGCACCAATACCAGGATCAGTCATTGTACTGTGTGGCAGTCCGGTATGGCATGGCAGACTGATGTTTATAGTCAGTGTAGTAAACAAGGAGTGCAGAGGGATACTGACACTAATTAATTGAAGCCCCTCATATCAGCTCCTTGGGGGGGTAGGGCTGAATTCGCGTAGTAAGGACCTAATTAATGAAGCCTACCCCCCTCCCCTCTGCCCCCCTAAGGCTCGAAATGAGTTTGGAGTTTAGGAGGCTGTACTGGGTCTCCAATTACCCTTCGCAGGCTTTCGATGACAAGCTTCTGCGGAATGTGGGACCCCAAATAATTAACCTACCCTTTTAAAGGGATCATACAAGGGCATCATAAGAAGGAACCCCCCAGTAAGTAGGTTTTGCGAGGGCTTGGGTTCCTACGTGCCGATCGCGCAAGCTTTTACAGGCCCCTAGCCTCAACAATCCTGATAAAGAATTCGATTTGGGGTTCCGGGATTACTGTAGCCTGCTATGGCTCTGATTCTTATGCTTCTACAATAACAATCATACGTAGCTAGGGCGGTCGAAGAGAAGGGAGGCACTTTCGACACGGAACAGGGTGGCAGCAGCAGAAACACCGAAAGAAAGCATCGGCTGAAGAGGGTCCTACATGATTTGGAGATTGATTGGGGGCCTAAGTTTTTTGCCAATTAATATTATTTTGGGGGGGTTCCATATTATATGTATAGTAGTTATATGCTCCGAGACCTTATTCAAATTATGAAGGTCCCTATAAACCACAACCACACTAGAACCCAACTGCAAGATTGCCAGTGCGAGTGGCATGGCGATGGCCAAGGACTGCGGTGAACAGGAAGCCAAGTTTGCCGGCACGGACAGCCTCAGCATGAGCATGGCGTGGTCTGCGAGTTGGTTGATGGGAGGCCAAACCGGGGGTTTAAGATTCTTGGGGTAGGGATTGCTTGATATGAACCCGATTATGGGAACCCTAATCCCTACTAAACCCCCATAGGCGAAAACCCCTTTTGGCCTCCTATGATTGGCTGATTCAGGACTGAGAGTCCCAGAACGTAAAATCCCCAATGCCTGACACCCGAAATGGCCCTCCAACAAGTGCGGACCACTCGTCTGACAGAACCCATCTACACGAGCCAACGACCTCGCTCTTATATCCTGGGAATGAGAGCCCGAACTTGTAGAGATCAAGTGAAGTAGAACACGACACATCAAACGCAGCATACCTGGACCCTGAAGAACCTCTTTTTTTGAGGCTTCCTTATTATGGTTTCCTGACAAAAGTCCTTGAAACGGTAGGTTCTTCGGGGTCCATGTATCCCCCTAAGCCCTAAACTCCTAAACCCTACCCCACCTACAGGCAACTAGAACCTAAAACTAAACCCGGGGTGGGGTGTAGGGTTTAGGGTTTAGGAGTTTAGGAGTTTGGGGTTGAGGGGTTTAGGGTTTAGGGGCCCTGGGTGCCCGGCCACTCCAGAGCTCGACGAAAGAAGTTGGCATCGAAGCACCGCACCTCTGAAGATCTCGGCTTGGCCAGGGAGGGCGTGCTGTAGTGCTCATATATAGCGGCCTTAATGATTAGAATAGGGTTCCTTTAAAGGGGATCTATAAGGGCTACCATAAGGGATCTATAAGGGTACTATATAGTAGAGGGGCCTTAATAATCGGATGCGGCCTATTGTAGTAGAATTCTACAACAGAATAAGGAACACCCAAAATCGTATAGGTAACTATCAAGGCCCCTATATTAAAGGCAGGGGCCGGCCTCTTTACTGTTGGTTTACTGATCGTAGATGTTTTGGGCTGTGTGCCGGCAATGGGTCCACCGCCGGGCTGGCTGGTGGCCTTGGGGGCTTTGGCGAAAACGGCCCCTCTGCGTGCCCCTCGCTGTCGTGTGAGTCCAGGCGCACGGCCCGGATTCGCTCAGCCCGGCTTGCCTGTTGGCAGCCGCGGCGGCTGCAGCCAGTACCGGGTGGGTCTCCACCTCGGGGCTGCTCTCGCTGTCCGAAGAGCTCTCCGGCTCTCCGGCGGTGCTGCCTAAGATCCATCCGTCAACACCCACCCTCTTCCGGAGGGGTGCTGGCCGGAGTTTTGGCCTTCACCCACCACTCAGAGGTTACACTGGTACGGGACCTGATTGCAGGTGGGTGGCGAAGCTCTTGCCATTTCTCCTTTGTTACAGGAAAGCGGTGGGGAGTGAGTGGGTTCCGGGAGCACACGGGCCGCGATACGCACTTAGTATCTGCAGAGGGATCTGTAAAGAAGCGTGCTTGCCATTTGGCTCGCGGCTGCGCTCAGCCCGACGCAGAGGGACGTTGTTTGCGTGGCCTAGTACCTCGGAGGGGGACCTTCAAGGGAAGAGCCTGATCGCACGGGTATCCGCGAGGATGGCACGCTGTCTTGCCCTTATGCCGGCTTGCCGGTGGCGGGCCTGCCTAGTTGCTACTTCGTGCGATTGTTGGCATGCCCTCTTGCCAAACTGGGCCGTCTTTGCTGACCTCATAACGTTGTTTCTGGGGTTGGGGCGTTCGCCAGCGGGAACTCCAAGTGGAGGGGGCAATGACGCTTGCGGAGCCCCCTGAGAAGCCGGGAGGGAACGGCGCCTTAGGCATGGCTGCTGCGCGCACCACCTCGTGCAGCTAGTCGCTCGCTCACTCACTCACTCACTCATCCGTCAACACCATAGCTGTATTTTTGATATTTCGGAGCAGCACGCTGTCACAAGGGCAGAGCGATGTTCTAAACAACCACAGCCAGCAAGGCTACAATGAGGCTGCATTGACAATGATGCTAACATGAGTACACCAGCGCTGTACATGTAGAAGCATCGACAACAGTATATAGCAAGCAACAGGGTATCTAGTAGTTTTTAGCAAGGGCTTCATTCAAGCTTATGGCTTTAATCGTTGTTTGTGTCTTTTCGTGTCCAGGGTTTGGGGATTGGGGTTTGGTGTGCGCCATGTGCTTTCATCTTGAGGCAGGCAGAACATAGAAACTGCCCCATGGCCATATTCCATCTACGAAAGTATGATGTTGCGAACTTCGCGCCATCAGGTGACAAACTAACCCGGCAAAAAAAAAAAAACACTTCACAAAGCACCCTGCACTGCAAGATCAAGCTGTTCTGTCGGTCCATCCTTCACATTCATGGAAGACCCTAAAACCTGAACTCTAAACTGCGCTTCCATCCTTCACATTCATGGAAGACCCGACTCCTCCGACGAACTCCTAAAGCGGCGTTGGCGTTTGTTCCTCAAAGCTTCCTCCGACGTGTCAGAGGAGTTTACGTACTAGGGCCTGCTAAGGTTTAGGGTTTTGGGGTTTAGGGTTTAGGGGTTTCAGGTTTTGGGTTAGGAAGTGCTGGAGGCAGAGTTCAGAATTATTGCCTACTTGCAGAGAGGGTCGTACTAAATAGGGTTCCGAGGACGGCGCTTGCTCTACAAGGGGCCTATTACAGCAATAGTCTCCCGACATAAGTCTTTGGCAAGTGGGAATGACAAACCTAAACCCTTAACCCTACTTGGAGGTTCATGGGCAGTCACAAGTATAAGTCGGGTAACTACACCTAAAACCCATATTGGACTTCTAACCCCACTTATAACTACCCATGAACCTCCAAGTACCTTCTAGTGGTGCCAACCAGCCACCCTCTATTATACCCTAAATTTCAGAATCGTAAGGGCTCTATCCAAGGGCTCATGTCCCGAGGGTTTCGAAAGTTGAAGGGAGCATTACCTTCTGTCATGATATACTGCATTCTGTTGTATCAAGCTTTCTCATGATGCATGCTATACGATACCTACACTTATGCTCACAAAACCCTCAATCCAAAACCCCGAAACCCTGAACCTTAAACCCTCAAGCACCATGCCTTCGCATGGCCATTCAGCAGCTGGGTCACTGCAATATGATCCCATTCCACAGCCTCGGGGGATCCCCCAGAGCCCGAACGTAGGGCGCATAGTCGCTCGAAGGTTTTGGGGTTACCGGGAGGATCATGGGTAGTTATAAGTAGAGTAGCTATACTTATAACCCATAGTCGGGGACTTCTAACCCCACTTATAACTACCCATGAACCTCCAAGTAGGGTTTAGGGCTAGGGTTTGGGGTAGAGCATCGAAGCCCAAATAATCTTGGCAATGATTCAAGCTCATCTTTGTTTTAGCACGGAAACTCTAAACTGAACCCTAGACCGTAGACCGTCTGCATTTGACCCCGGACCTGTAACTTTCAAGAACCTTTGGGCCCAGAGCTTCCAACGAACGCCGACTGCCTAGAGCCCTCTGGGATGGCTGGTGATTTGTGCACCCTATGCCCCAAACTTACCGAAACCCCACGGCACCCTAAACCCTAAAACCCTAAACCCAACACCCTAAACTTAAATTTTACCTAAACACCACGGACCCAGTTCTGGGGAGTTCTAAAATACTCGCAAGATTCCTTCCCAGAGTTTCCAGTATCCCTTTTTTACGGAATGCACCTTAAATGATCGTAGAATCCTGAATATGATTTAAGGTCTACCTTAACCCCAAGTAACCTACCTTCTTAAGGACTTATATAAAGAAACCATATCAGGGAACCCTAAAATAGGTAGGTCTCTGAGGGTCCAGGTATTCCGCAATCAAGGGATATCGGAGTCTGAGGGTTCTGGTATGATGTGCCCAAAAAGCGTCCAACATGCTAAGTCTCGACCCCCACGAACCTAAAACCTTGAAGCCTGAAGCTCTAAATCCTAAAGCCTCAATCCTAAACCCTACAACCCCAAACTCCACAACCCTAACACTCCCAGGAACCACGTGCTAAAGCAAAGCAGCTAGACCAGGAGAGGTTTCGGGTGAAGGATGAAAGTCTCAAAACCCTCTATTATATGTGTATATATATACACACACGCATAAAAGCATGTATATATGTATGTGCGTATGTGTATGTGTATATATATATATATACATACACAGATGCATAAATAAATACATGAATGCATAGATGCATTTATGTATATACATATATATATATATATACTATACATATACGTGTAGGTGTACTTTTAAGTGTAGGTGTATGTGACTGTGACTGTGAATGCGTATGTGTATGTGTATTTGCCTGTGCACCTGTATGTGTATGCTTATATGTATGTGTGTGTGTGTGTTTGTATGCGCATGTGTAGACGTATCTGTATGTGTCTGTACGTGTATATAAGTAGACCTAGTTGAGCCTAAATGTATACGCATATGCACATGCGCACGCATATGTGTATGTGTATATGTGTACGTATGTACGTACGCAGGTATGTATGTCTCTATGCCTTGTGTGTATCTTTGTGTGTATGTACATTGCTGACTGTATGTTTGTCTGTGTGTCGTATGTATGTGTGTGCGCATGTATGTAAATATGTATGCATGTGTGTTTCTATGTGTGTGTGTGTTGTAATTAGTAGTATCCACATGTGTATATACATGTATGTGTGTATATATATATATACACACACACATAATGTGCATGTGTAAGAGTATAAGCCCAAAGATAGATGGGTAGATAGATGCGTGTATACACATACATACATACATACATACGTACATACATACGTACATACATACATACATACATACAGACATACATGCATGCACACACACACACACACATACATACATGCACACATACATGCATGCACACATACATGCATAGCCACATACATACATACATACATACATACATACATATGTTTCCTCTGTTTTTTTCTTATTGGTTGAACAACGATTACGGCGGAGGCTTACCGAGGTTACGATCGAACATAGAACGGTTTAGGGGTTCAAGGTTTAAGGTTTACGGGTTTAGGGCGTTGGGGTTTCGGGGGTTGGGGTTTAGGGTCTAAGAGTTTACAGTATAGGTTTAGGGGGTAGGGTTCAACGCACCTGGCCTCTTTAGCCAGGCCATCTGAGGAAGCCAATGCCAAGGCTTCGAGAAGAGGGCCCTCCTTCCGCGAACTTTGCTGTTCGGGCTCCCCCACTTTCCAAGGGCTCCATGTACCCATATAGTAGCTACTTAGGCCTTAAAGTACCTATATAGGGACCCCTTTAAGGCCTAAGTACCTACATGGAGCCTTAGGGTTTTAGAGCCCCCAATTTACCCCCTTGTAACGAATAAGGTAGGGATATCCTTCTTTATTGCTTATGCTTATATATCCGTTCGGGGTCCCGGATCTTTGAGCCCACAGCCTACACCCTGAAACAGTGTAAGAGCGCCTGGTACGTGACCGGCGTTTTGTGGCGTAGCTGAAACAGGCAATGTGCTAAAACCTAGGGAAAACGTGTATTATGACTAAAATGCTGTGCTAGGAGAGGCGGAGAATCCCTGTGACAGGTCGATCGTTTTAGCGAAAAAGGTGTTGCCGCTGCAGCAAAAGCCACTTTTGCGAGCACCGCGCTGCGCAAACTTGGTCTGAGTGGACGTTATAATATGACCCATGGATGCTCTGCGTCAGTGAGATCTGGTCTGAGTGGACGTTAACATGGTTGACCCATGGATGCTCTGCGTCAATAACACCCATGGATGGTTTGGGCGACGTGGGTTGTAGCAAGTGCCGAACACACCGTAGCTACCGGTGTGTGCGCGGCATATGAACCTAAGGAAACATGGCTTCGACCAGAACTAGAGCTTGGGCCTGCCTGCGACAGAAGTCCGCAGTTCTGGAGTTAAGGGTCGGGACTGGCCGGAATTAGCCCCCCCCACCCCCCCACCCAAGAAAAGTGAGAGGACGTACAGGACGCACACCCTGAAACATACAGTGGACCTAAAGCCTCGAAGCCTTGAACCCTACGAAGCCTACGCCCCAAATTCTACATGATTTTTTTTGAACACCCCTTCTCCAGTGCCCTGAAAGGGTCTCTACATGGGTTTAGGGTTCAGGCTTTCTGAGGTAGGGGCGCCCGACTCAATGCTTTTTTCCTCTGGGCAAGATGGGCTTTTGATGAGAAGGATCGCGCATGAGGCTGAGAACTTCGAGGAATCGTAGTGATTAGAACAAGCTCCTCTTGGAGGTTCATGCGTAGTTACAAGTAGGGTTATAAGTAGGGTAACTCTGCTTATAACCCATATAAAGGGACTTATGACCCACTAAGCAGGCTCTGTGTGTGTTCACTAAAATAGGAAAGAGCATCCTAGCCTCTGAACTGTTGAACTCTTGTACGCTGCAGACCCGACACCCTTCATGCACGGATCCAACAGCACAGAGCGGGAAACCATGAATTGCATCGAAGGAAGCCGTACCACCCTGCCCCACCTCCCACCCCTACCACCCGAGCCCGTAATCCAAAACCCCTATAGAACCGAACCTGAATTCAAAAGCCTAATATAGGAGCCTGAATGATTAGAAAAGGGTTTGGGGGTCCATTCCACTATAATTATAATAAGGAAACCCCAAGATGGTATAGGTAAAAAATTAAGGTCTCTATAGTACGCTGCCACTGCTCCCACAGGTTCGAGTGGGCATCCTCAACCGAGAGTCCATGGCTAAGAACTGCCAAGCACTCCTTGCAACCTACCCTACTGTCCGTTTCCGGAAAGCTGCGACAGCTTGAACTCGAGGGTTTAGGCCCAGGCTGTAATACCGAGGCCTGAAGAATTGGAGCAGATTTGTTGGCGTACACTACGATATAAGTACAAGCAGGAATCCCAAGAACATACAGTATTCTTACTTGTTTAGGCTCCACATATCGATACTTCGTAAGCCAGCTCCCGATGGCTACGATACTTTCTACCCCAGCTCCCTCATGGTTCGAAGCGTCTCCAGGAAGCTCATCCGGGCGAACGCGTTGGAGACCATGCCCAAAGACTGGGGCGGTAGCTGCCTGGGCGTAAGGGCTTCATACATGCACGAGTGTGTGTGTGTGTGTGTATGCATGCATACATATCCATGTCTGTCTTGTTCTAGCCAACATGTAACGTAACACAAGTCGGGATACACATGTATACCGATGCTAATTTGTCAACACAGATGTACGGAAACTAAGCAAATGCCATCAAATGCCTATCTATCAATCTGTCTATCCATCTATCGATCTACCCCTTTCCATGTTTAGTTTATACACATATGCAGGTGTGTGGATCTATCATAGTAACGAATTGAACGTTTATGTTGTGCTACATTAAACCATAATGCATCACAATTTGATACATGTACTATATGGTACTATAGTATCACTATAATGTAAGATCTTGAGATATAGTACAGTTTAGCATTGCATGTATTTCGACATGTTACATGATCACTTGCTATGGTATGCTATGATATGTATCTTGTGTGAATTACGCTGTAACATATCACATCACACTTTAGGATATGGTGAGTCTACACAGATGCATGATTATGCAAACAGGTATATGTGCCTCTATATATATATATATATATATATATATATATATATACATATCTGTATATACATATGTACGCATGTATTTACATGTGCATGTATGTGTAGGTATACACACACACGTGTGTGACGTATATGTGCGTGCATATGCTGCATGTATTCATGTGCGTATGTATGTCCTGAAGTACGTATGTGCATATATATATATATATAGACGTATGTACGTATGTATGTATGTATGTATGTCTGTGTGTGTGTGTGTATATGTATATGTCTGTATCTATCTATCTGCATATGTATGTACGCATGTAAGTAAGTATGCACGCAAGTAAGTGTATATACATATAGGCATGCATGTGCGCATACATAGATACAGGCGTACATCTATACATATACACACACACATACATATACATTTACACACACTCTTAATCTATTCACACGAGTCTGCCTTGATGGTTCAAGTGTTCAATTTTGAGGACTGGCTCGGGCGGCTCGAGTGCGCACACTCACAAACAAACACACACACACACACACACACACATCCCAGTGATCCACCTACAGTCTATCTATAGGCTCGGCATTCCGCAGTATCAGAAAGGGACAAGAGAATGAACATCCGAAGGCTCTCAGAATTACATGTCTAGGGTTTCAACTTTCCTGTGGCAGGACACTGACTCCGGGCTCCGCGCCGTGCTTTGGCCATGACCTCAGGTTCGGCTGTGCAGCTCGAAATAATGAGGTTGACATCTCCCTAGGGGTCCATGGGTACTTAGGTTTCGGATACGGATAATAGTTATGTAGGTTACTATTTGGGAGAGTTTATGATTATTGGGTACTTGGACCCTTGGGGTCTGTTCTAGCTAGCTGCAAGTTGAGGATCCCATTTTGAGGGTTTGGATGCCAGATGCTAAGCCCAAACCGCTGCGACTCTGCATCGTCGACGGAAATCCTGAACGGGCAGACTATACTGAACTTAGACCCCTAGCAAAACTTATAACTTTAGCTCTTAAGGATTAAAGGAACCAAAGATTTAGAAGAATCTTTCTAAGTACCCCTAAGCAGAAAGGCCTGACGCACTTTCACACGGTGACCGTCGCAAACACTATGAGACCCTCGAATGGACCTATACTGAACTTAGAACCCTAGCAACAATTGTTGTTTTATATAGCTGTTTCTTAGGGATTATAATAACCAAAAATTACCCTAAACCCTAAACCCTAAACCTTTCTAAGTACCCCTAAGGGGCCCTCAACCCAAAGCCGGTGATAGCCGACAAACTTTTACATCCTCATCCAACCCGGGAACCCTTAAAGGGACCTATACGGGGTTCTAGAAGGGTTCCTTTACAGGGGTCTAGAAGGACTACTAGAAGGGCTGTTAGAGGGTTTAGTATAGGGGCCGCAATAAGTAGAATAGGGTTATGAGGCCCATTATACTACAACCATTAAAAGGAACCGCCAGACGCCAGAATAGTATAGGTAATTGTTTTGAAGCCCCTATAATACTGCGATCTCCAGAAGTATTTAACTGGGTTGTAGTTTCGGGGCCCGTAAAAGCCTTTATGAATAGGTACCTCTATAAAAACCATAAGGGAACATGACAAGTTTCCCAAAGTGCCACCTAGCTAAGCCCTCGGCGAGGTCCCGAAGTGGGAGCAAGACGCCCTCGTCGCGGCTTCGCAGTCGTGCGAAGGCCTCGCGTCTTGAAACTTCTTGTTCTGTAGGTACTCATGCATGTGTCTGTGTGTGCTTGTGTCAGAGTCTCTTTGTGTGTGTGCACCAAGCTTAAAATCTTCGCTGTACTGTAACTTGGGCCCAAGAGCTTGCAAAGGCGATCTGGGTATTTGGGTTTCTGTACTCCTGACGTCTGGAACGCCGTCCGCGCAACCCTGTTGATGCTGGACTACCCGACGACTTAACGCCCCCCTGCCCGCCTCATCCGAAACTTGAAATTTCTCCACCCCCTCCCCACGCTAAAAGAACCACGGTATCACCACCATCGCTAAACTCTGGGTTGCACCCTAAACCCTAAACCTAAACTCTCAAACCCGTCCATCTCAGAGAAGCACCTGCGGCTCAAAGATCTTCGACGGCTTTAATTGCACGCAAGAGCCCCAGAACCCACCCTAAGAAGGACCTAATAATCAGGTACTTGGGTTTAGGATAGTAGTTTTGTAGGTTACTCTTTTCGAGAGTATATGATAATTAGGCACTGGGACCCTTAGGGTGCTTCGTATGGGGTTTCCGAAAATAGGGGTACCTTATGTTGGGGGTCCTTAAAATAAGGACCCTACTATCTATTTTCGGAAACCCCCATAAGCCCAAACGAAAGCCTGCGCCAGCTGAGCCAAGGCAGGCCCAGTCAGACCCGGGGCTGTTGTTAGGCTGCGCCCCAGAGCCTCTGCGAGTTGAAAAGGGTTTAGGGGTTTAGGGGTTCGGGGTTAGGGTTTTGGGGTTTAGGGAGAAGGGGTTTAGGGGTTCGGGGTTAGGGTTTAGGGGTTTAGGGGTTTAGGGAGAAGGGGTTTAGGGATTAGGGGTTAGGGTTTAGGGGTTTAGGGATTTAGGGGTTTAGGGATTCGGGGTTACGGTTTAGGGGTTTAGGGTTCAGAGGTTTAGACTTTAGAGGTTTAGGGTACCCAAATGGGTAGTTCTCTAAATTACGGGCCCCCTTTTAGATCCCAAGTATAGTACGGCACCCTTGTAAAAGGATCCTAACAGGGAGCCTAATTCAGAGAACTACCCAAATGGTCCTAGGTATTGATATGGGGGATACTTCCGCAAATCATATATATATATATATAGAAACCCTACATTCTCCTAATACTATATGGGAGTTTCCGAAAATAGGGGACCCTAATATAGTACCCTAAATAGTAAGATCCTTATTTCCAGGACCCCAAATAAGGTACCCCTAATCTTCGGAGACTCCCATATACGTACTTTGGACTTTGGACCCTTTAGGAACCCAGGATCGAGGGCTTCGGGTTTCGGGGGCTTTTTTGCGGGTTGGGATTTAGGGCTGGGGGCTTTTCAGAGTTTAGGGTTTAGGATTTGGGGTTCTGGGTTTAGGTTGTCGGGAACTAAACCCTAAGCTCTTGCTCCTGGTTGTAGTTTGGGCTCAGGACTAGGTTCGAGGACAGACGTCTTGGAACGGTGTGTTTCAATGCTGCAATACTCAATACTGACTGCATTTCAGGAATCCAGCTGAGACAGCGTTTGAGGAATTTAGGGCAATAGAAGCCCTTGGGCCTCACAGAACTGCTTCAATGACAAGAGCAATACTATTCGTTAGGGTTTCTTGGAATCAACATCGCAGGATGTACACAAAAAGCCCTAATCTAATGTATGGGGCCTTCATCATTAGAATAGCGTTTTGGGGCGTTCCTTATCCCCAAACCCTATTCCAAAATTCAGCCCTCTATATTAACTATCAAAGCCCCCAAATAAAGATGCTGGCTAAACCCTGAAAGGAACCCTTATAGAACCCTTTAAAGGAGCCCTAAGGTACCCCTAATCAAGGCCCCCCTATAAAGCTGCTGGCAGCTTTCGGTGGCCTTGAGCTGCTCGGGCCGCTTCGCAGGGCCCTTGGACACACCTCCGGAGGGCGGCAAAGCCAAGGAATGACTGGTGTAGGGTTTAGGGCTAAAGTTTAGGGCTGAGGGTTTAGGGCTCAGGGTTTAGGGCTTCAGGGTTTTGGGGTTTCGGGTTTAGGTCCCACCGCCGGAAACAGGAATTCAACCAGCGCATGTTCAGGCCACTGGGGCCTGCTATGTGCATAGCAGGCCACCATTGCTGACTACGACGACGCAGACGACGACAACAACTGCTGCAACTGCTACTACTACTTCATCGTATAAGTAAAAAATAGGAAATGGAGCCTGGAGCATACTCTGCTCACTCTACAAAGAGGATGTATACCGAACACCATCGCTAGCTCAAACATTTATACGTACACTTACTTGGAGCCCCAACCGTGGAAACAGTGACCCTACTTATACATTTGACCATGCACTTCCAGACGATCTAGACTCTAGACTGGACCCCTCTGAGTCTGCGCAAAACCCGCTTACAACCCCACAGAAGCCTGCTCGAACAATCATGACCCCGACTTGCGCTGGCCTACAGAGGAAAGAAAGAGAGCGGCATCGTGGTCGTTCATTTCTGAAAGCCTCATGTGGGGGCACTGACATAGGCTTCAAGCCAGAAGCTATTCTAGGATACCCAGTAACCTAAGAATAAAAAGGCCTCTCTTCTTGGTATTGGGTAACTTTATAAGGAACCTAGGACTACGAAAAGGGAAGAAGGGTACTACTTACTACTGGGCATCCTAGTATTGGATTCAAGTTTCTCGCTTTGCTTTGGGTGCTCAGTCTAGGGGTCGGGGTGCAAAGCTTGGGAAAGCAAAGGGCTTTCCTGCAGGAGCCTAGTCCACCATAGCTGCAAGTTGTACTAGTACCACTAGCCCCAAGAGTAACCTAGAAATAAAAGGGTGCCCTTTTTGGGTTAAAGGTGCCTCTAAGGGAGCCTGAATCCTAAAAAAGGGAATAAGGGCGTATGCTGAGGCCCAACTACTGAAAGGAAGCCGGTCTGATCAGAATTGAGCAGTAGGGTCTCAGCCTTCAATGTCAAGTGCCTGCCGCAACTGCATCACTGAACTGATGTAGGAGCTCGCACTAATAATTACCAATACTATTCTTAGGGTTCCTTACTATGACTATAGTAGTGTTGTTGAAAAACCCTTGGTAAAGGCCAGTCCAGAATGGGGCAGCTCGAAACAGAGACTACTGTAGCAACACATGTGGCCTCCCTGCTGCAAACAACAACCCCCCTGAGCGAAGCTCGACTGCTGTTTTGCAGCTTGGCGAACTCTCAAACCACTTTATTTGCTCCCTGCCCCTAAACCCTAAACCATTCGTTAGACGGTCGCTATTCCACTATAGGGTCTAAGGTGTCAAACAGTCGGAACGAGACAGAGCCAGGCCAGAGCCTACCAGCTTTCCAGGGCCCTACACAAATTCTAATTACGTATAGGAGTTTCCGAAAATTGGGGGTACTTTATTTGGGGGTCCAAAAAATCAGGATCCTACTATTTAGGGTACTAGATTAGGGTTCCCTATTTTCGGAAACTACCATATAAGCTATAAGGGCTACCCTGACGGAGCCAACGACGAAGACAGCGAGCGCAGTCCCCTTCCGAATGCCGTTTGAGACCGCATTATCAAGACAACCGCGAAGACCCATCTCTGCGACGTGCAGACAATGCCGATGCGACTAAAGACCACACAAGTATGTAAGTATGCAGCTTTATCCCTTAAACCCAAACCCGACTCGCGGCCTTTCTGGCAAGTGCTGCTCCACTGCCCAGGCAGCAGTGGAAGTCAGTTCCTGGTTTCGTCTCCCCATCCGATAACTTCAAAGCCCCATCCGATAGCTTCAAAGCCCCAAACCTTTAGGGTTTAGGGTCTAGCGCCCGGGACCTCAGCCCGAGAAGAAAACGAAATTCACTGCAAAACACACAACGCCAATAGCCCCCCAAACCTAAGCCCTGAACCCCCCACCCTAAACCCATGCCTTACTCTCACAAGGACCGTATAAATCCCAAAACAGCGCGTGGACAAGCATGACCCCTAAGGGTCCAAAGGACCCAATGATTGGGTACTGCGGTTTCGGAAAGTAGTTATTTAGCTTACAGTATTTGGGACAGTATATGATTATTAGGTACTTGGACTCTTAGGGGACCAAACCACTGGGTTCTTGTAAAGGAATGTAAAGCCGGATTGGTAATTGACGATGAGTAGGTGCTGCAAGTTAGCTTAAGTCGTAAAGGTTCTATCGGGCTTTATAGCCGAAAGCGCAGTGACTAAAATAGGAGGCGTTCCTGGTTATCGTAGTCGTCTGAGATACACCTTTTTGGGGCCATAGTTCTGTTAGACTTCAGGGTGTGCGGTCTGAACATACAATACCTAAAGTCTCCATTCTAGTATCTTTATTGGGGTTACCTTTTAGGATCGTACATATAAAGTTGGTTAAACAAACAGGAACTACAATGGAGAGTATAGGTACAACTTCAATATGGCCATCATGGCTTCATATATCAGCTCCACTACACTCCGAAACTCTTGATCCTAGACCCTAAACGATCCAACACTCCTCAGCAACACAACGCTCGCTCCAGGCCCCCCTGCTCGCGATGAGTGGAAGAGGAGCGTAAGACTATCCACCTTAGGGCGTCTAAGGTAGGTTGAAGTGTTGGCCTCATATTATTGCATTCGGCTGGTATTACATAGCCTCAAGGGTTTTGTAGCTCTGGTTGGCCCTAGCAACTAGACTGGATCCCATTTGGGGCCGTAAAACCACCAGGACCCGTAAACACAGACCCTACATTAGTTTGGATCCAACACATCATCTTACCTGTCCTGTACCCTAAAGGACTAACTATAGAGGTAAAAGGCTAGAGGTTACCTGTTCTACAACTAAGTCATAATCCTGTCAACCTTGAACGATTGGAAGAACCCTAAATCCTACTAAACCTTATAGGGTTCAGGGTTCACAACTCCTCAGAGACTGAGTACCAGGCTTGCATACTAGAGCCTACCTACAGTCTCCATTGTATTTCCTTTTTCTGGTTTAACCAACTTTATGTTGAAGATCCCAAAAGGTAACCCAAAAAAGAGACACAATGGAGACTATAGCCCCTATACTAAATCCTTATAGTAGCCCTTATATAGACCCCTTTAAAGGAACCCTACTTGGAGGATCATGGGACTTAGTAAGTTGGGTTATAAGTACCTTAATTGGGGTTATCAGTAGCTATAAGTATAGTTACCCGAAAATCACCCCCCTAGTTACTAAGTCCCATTTTAAGTATTCTAATCAGGTAGATTAAAAACCCTCTGTCCGCCATCCGAATGCCTCGTTAAGCCGCTGCTTTCGGCTTTGGTTTGTGGCTTTAGGGTCGCAGGGGTTCAAGGCCTTTAGGGTTTTAGGGCCTTTAGGGTTTAGGGTTTCAGGGTTTATAGGGTTTATGTGGGTCTAGGGTCCAGGGGTTGAGGGTTGTAGGGCCTTTAGGGTTCAGGGTTTCAGGGCTTAGGGTTTACGTAGGGTTTAGGGTTCAGGGGTTCAGGGTTCAGGGCTGAGGGTGTTCGGGGTTGACGGGTTTAGGGTTTAGGTGGGGTTTAGGGTTGCAGTGTTTGGAGTTTAGGGTTCAGGGTTTGGGGTTTCATGCATTTCGAAGCGGCGTTTGGCATCTGTGGGTTGGCTTTTTTGGAGCTCAGGACTCAAGATTATAGACACGACGGTCGCTCTGACGCAAAGCTCCTTGGGAGGAACGTCCTCCGAATCAAGGTTTACCCAAAGCCCTACACCCTAAACTCCTAAACCCTGCACCCTAAGACTTGCTCTGGTTTCCTGAATAATGGGCTTTCGGGTTACATAGTACCAGTGTATGGATAACAGCCTAACTAAGCCCAGGCAGTAGGATCTTGAATAGATATCCGGCAGCCAAAGGACTCTAGATTTCGGAGACGTTTGGCCATCAAGCTCGAAATTCCCTGAACCCTAAACCCAACAATCCTAAACCCCTAAACCCTTGTTCGAAACTTGCGCCACCCTTTGTTTGACATGTCTGGCTTGCGCTGCTTCTTGGAACCCCTCCCTTAGATGAGGACAAAGTAGCTAAAGTCTCCATTGTAGCCGCTTTTTGGTTTCACCAAGTCTGCAAATTCTCAGGCAACCTCAAAAAGGACCTGCAATGGCATATTAGCGGCATATTAAGATTGCATCAGCAGCGAGCGATGTTGGGTTCTAGGGTTTTATAACCCGAAACCCTAAAACACTACAACATATAACCCTAAGCCCCTTAACCCTACATAAACCCTAAACCCCTAAAACCCCTCAACCCTAAACCCTAAATCCCAAAAAACCCTAAACACCCTCAACCCTTTTAAACCCTAAACCCCTAAAATCCCTCAACCCTAAACCCTATAAACCCCTAAAAACCCTCAACCCTAAAGCCCCAAAAACCCTAAACACCCTCAACCCTGAACCCTAAACCCAAAAAACCCTCAACCCTGAGCCCCCCAAAAAATCCTCAACCTTGAGCCCTGTAGGGGTTCCCACGGACCCAAAAACGAGCCCCGACTGCCCCACGAGCCGAGCCAAGGCTGAACAGAAGAACGTCTTGAGCCTCTTGAATCTCTTAACCCTAAGGGTGCAAGTATATAGTCCCTATTTGGGGTTTTGGTACCTCTAAAGGTCCTAAAGTCCTATGATGCTCCCTATACTGAACTTGGAACCCTAGCAACAATTATAATTTTAGGTGTTTTTTGGGTGTTATAATAACCAAAGATTATAACTTATTTCTAAGTACGCCTAAGTTCCTGTGGATCCATAAACCTACTGTTTTGGGGGGGGGTTAGACCCATAATTTACGCGTCAGAACCTCTACTCCGTAGGGTTTGGGGTCATTGGTTGAACCTCTTGAGTCTGTTGAGGGTTTAGGGTAGGGATTTTAGGGTTTAGGGCTCGAGAGCTCAGTTGATGCTACAATCTGAAACCTAGATCCTCTACACTCCGCAAAGCCTGAACCCACAGATCTTCACGATCGGCGCACCGGCACGTCTGCCAGGTCTGCTTCGGCTAAGACTCGCCGTGAGATCGCCTGACCGAGTCTCGTCTCTCGGTTTTCCTTACCTGTAGGCACATACCTTAGGCCCTGCCCCCAGACAGTAAGAGTCAAAAACAGGGCTACCATTAAGGTCCTAATGTATCTATACTATGTATGTATTCAACTATTACTGAGGGGGGGCCGTACCCAACACGTACCCTTCCCCTTTTTTGGGGGGTATCTGTTTGTATATCTAGCAGATCCTAACCGCCATAAAACTAGGTATCCTAATAAAGGGCTAGTATGAGCCTCTAGGTATAGTACATCCCAAAGACTTGCAAACAATACTCTTAAGGATTGAGGCAATTCCGGAGCCAACTTTGGGGCTTATACTGTAACCCCAAATAACCTGCCTTCGAAGGACTTATATGAGGTGACCATATTGGAAAAGGTAGGTTTTATAGGGTTCAGGTCGGTTTGAAGACAAGTCTTCACATCACGCGAATACGGGGATTTAGGAGCGCACATGGGAGTTCCCGAAAATAGGGGACCCTAATATACTACCCTAAATAGTAGGATCCTGATTAGAAGGACCCTAAAAGAAGGTACCCCTAATTTTCGGAATCTCTCATATGTAGAGGAATCTTGAAGCAACACTCCGCACGCAAAAAGATGAGGACACTTTAAAATGGGTTACAACGAAAACCAGAGGACTTGGAAAGTGGTCGTACATACCCTGATCGGGTGTCTCGCTTGCAGCCCGATATGCTGTGTAGCTTATCTGGGATTTGAACTGAAGTAACCAGGGAGAAAAAGTATAGTTTTTTTTCATAATGGTTCCCTTTCAATAACAGGTCCCGAGAAAAGTATTAAAGTATGGTACTCCAAAGCCTTATGGCCTATATGTGATACATTAAGCTCCGGCATCCTCCTGGCTAACTGGAACATACACTCGCATGTCGAGACACACTTGGGAGTTTCCGAAAATAAGGGACCCTAACATAGTACCCTAAATAGACGATCATTATTTCACCCAAATAAGGTACCCCTAATTTTCGGAAACTCCCACTTTGGACCAACGGGAGGAGATCGCCACTGCAACCGCCAAGACAGCAGGAGACCCCAGAGAAGATCAGGAGGCTCCCCGCAAAAAGTACCGGCATAATCAGAAACCACCACTTGGAGATTCATGGGTAGTTACGAGTACACTTGGAGGTTCATGGGTAGTCATAAATAGGGATATAAGTAGGGCAATTGTGACTATACTGATAACCCAAATTTTGGTAACTATACTTATAACCCATATTTAGGGGCCTTATGACCCCACTTACAACTACCCCTGAACCTCCAAGAAGGAGACGAAGCTTCGCGACAACACCAAAGTACGCAGACTAGCTCTTAAGGCCCTAAGGCTCCATGTACCCAGAAAGTAGGTACTTAGGGCCTTAAAGTACCTATATATATATATATATATATATATATATATATACCCTATGACTCTAACCTCCCTCTGAGACGAGGCGGTTGATAACAGCCTTGTATGGGAGGGCGTTTCGTTTAGGAGCCTGATAACAGCCTAGTTTTCGGAGAGGGAAAGGGGATCGAGAAGGGATGCTCAGTTTGCTCTCGAGATGCCGTCGAAAACCCGACTACAATCCACTGAAGGATCGCTCTGGACTGTTTTTTTCCGACCGAAAGCCAGTCACCGACGTCTGAAAGCACAGTCGATGTCCTTCCTGAGATGCTCATGATGGCGCATGACAAGAAGCAACATTTTCAGCCCTCCAAGTATGTTGAATCCAAGGGTCTTCGTGAGCTTTTTGCAAGCTGCTCGGAGCCGTAGGCGGCCCATTCGTAACATCCAGGGTCCAAATTTATCTCGAGCGCGAGGTGCTTTCAGCCCGATTCCTCATCATGTGGCTTAGAGGCTTACTATTATGGAGAGGTTGTGAGAGTCCAAGGCCCGAACTTTTGACCCATCCCATCGAGTCTTCTTCTGCAAAGCAATGCATGTAGCGAACATTCAGTCCTCAGCCCATTAATCCCAAGCACATGAGCAAGAGACAGACAGGGGACAGGTACAGCCGAACATCATGCAGCCTTGATACGCCACTTTCTCATCTGGAGCAGCATGTGCATCATCATCTCAGCTCAGTCGAAGCAACATCTCGCAGCAAACCCCGAACTCGAGAAACAGACATGTAAGTGATATTGCTGCCCAAATGCATGGTGTTTGGGTTTCAGAACCCAAGCCAGGATGCCCATCCTGGATTGAGCTTCAGTGGGGTTGATAGAAAGGCCCAGAAAATCTCTGAAACCCCATAGCCTAAGCCCCCAAAACCCGAAAGCTTCACCCCGAACCCCCTAAACCCTAAACCTTCAAATTCGATTATAGCTCCCATCCTGTGTGACATCACCGTCAACTTCAGATGATAATCCAGGAAGGTCTTGCCAGCCCGGAAAATCTCTTCAGATTCATCCACACTCCTGAGCGAATATATATGCGATGTTCTGTAACTATAGACAGTAAGCGCATGCTGCCATGCTACGATCTGGAATGCTGCGGGGGCACAGATAGCGGCCAGATCTCTCGAGCAGGCCAAAGAACCGGGCAAAGGAGGTCCTTGATTTCAGAGGGGAATTTGAGGGAAGTGAAGTTAGGGGTTTCAGGTTAGCCTTCGTAGGTTTATTAAAATTTGTAGGGTTCAGGATAATAGGCATTAAGTTTAGGGTGCTTGCGTCTCGCCTCGGTTCGAGGGCCTATGAGCTAATTAGCAGGTATTGCATTCCAAGCTTCAAAGCCACAGCCAGGTGGGGCAAGCGAGGGTCTGTGATTTTTTTGTCTGAGAGTGCTTTTGTCGTGGTATCAGCAAGCCACTCCAAGATGACCCGTCCATTGTAAGCTTTGGCAGTCATATAATGCCCATGCATTTTCTTGATCACCAAACCCACGCTGAAGCGCTTCTGTGAGCAGGGGATACGGTGTTGCAATTTCCAGGCTTTGAAATCCGCAAATGCAGCGTCCAGAAGCTGTTGCAATTCCAGTGCATCGGGATCGCCGAAGTAGCCCAGAGATACCAGGGTCATCCTAGAGGCAATTCATGCAGAAGAGCTTCTTATTCCGAGCACGAATACGAATAAGAAAAAACATATATCGAATCCAAGCTTCCTTGCTAGCGGTTTGAAGCTTTATATACTGAAAGGTTTAGGGGTTCAGGGACCTAATTCTATAATAGGTTTAGCCGGAATATTTGGTCAAGCGGCAGACATCCTCCATTGGCCGTGTAAACCAGGCCCAGGTTGCAGCAATGCATAGAGCATATTTTGACCATCGAAATATCGAAGCCCCGAAGGCGGAGCAAAGGACCTTGGATTCCGGAGGATTCAGAATTTCTATGATCGTGCTACTGTCAAGCTGTGGGGTTTCAGGGTCTTAGGGTTCAGGGTTTAGGGTGTAGGGTACTATGGTAGGGATTACCGGGCGGTGGTAAACGCCCGATGCAAAAAGGGTACTACCATAACCTCAAATTGAATAACCCGAACCTCAACTCCAAGAAAGTCTGAGGCACTGAGTACCCCAGGCCTCACCTTCCTTGCAAGGAAGCCCACAGTGTTCACTTCAGTTGCAGCCCAGCCCGGCTCCTGCTGTAAGTCGCCGGTATCGTAGTACTTCATTGCAGAGTCGTCCGAGCAAGCGTCGCACATGTAGCAGGGCTGCTTGCTCACAGGGGTTGGCAATAGGCGTAGCACCTTTTCCAGCCATTTCCAATCCCCTTTGACCTGGCTGCAGACCCAGCGGCGGCCATTGGCGAGTGGAGTACCCGCTTTTTGCAGCTTGGATGGTGTCAGAGAGCCGCCATCAAACCTTGTATGCGGGTACCGCCCCTCGAAAGCCACATTGCACGACCACACGATGTGTTGCAATATCGGGAAGAGAGATCGCAAGCATTCATCATCGACAAGCAAGTCCTGTTGTACAGCGGCAATGAGAAACTGCCCTTGCCTCACCGAGGTCGGTCGAAAAAGATGGATGCTCATAAAAAAGGCAACCACCTTATCATGAGGATCAGCACTCAAGCAGCACTCATCGCCATACAAACTGAATGGTACTTCAGTTTTGTCGCCAGGAAAGCCACGAATCCAAGGCATATCCACGGCTTCCATATGTGCATAGTAGTTTTGCACCATTTCAGCCGGAACTTCCACCTTGACTTCATTGTGAAGGTATGCCAGCACTTCGTGAACGTCCAAGACCGGCAGCTGCATAGGCACGATATTTTCGTTGCCCTCTGTATCCATAGATCGAACTGGCACTTCGATCGTTGTAGGCTCCTTAGGCTTTTATTTGTATCATCTCAAGAACACCATCGTTTCTTGATCCGAGGGTGTATTTAGGATAGCTCTTTGAAGATTTAAACCCTAGTTAGGTTCATTTGGTCGGCAAATTCGACCCCCCGCCCAGAAACCCCAATAGTTGCACTCCGAGTGTCCAGAGGAAGTGCTACCTTCTTGAAGAAGTTTCGAGCGTAGTTTCCAGGCTTGAAATTCATCAGGGCATTCGCGGTTTTGCCCCTGAACTTCCCACCAGCCTCCTGGAGGTATGCCCGGTAGCAAGCTTAAGTTGAACTTCACTTCCAAGTGTTTTGCTAGCTTGCGTGCACGAGTCCTTGAAAGCTGCTCTTGCATTATCCATAGCAGCAGTGACTGAGCTAGCCTAGGATGGCAGAAGCTGCACTCCCTCAGTCAATCAATGCAATCCAGGAAAACCCAAGCCCTATATATTGCCAAGCTGCACCATCGGAAACTTTCTCCATCATATTTTGCAGCAGGCCATCTGCTGCATCATCGCTGGAGCCTGGCGTGCAACTTGCCAGCGAGTACTGGTATACACGGATTGGATAATCTTTGGTGTATAGGGATCGAGGCTTCATTCTTTCTGGTCGGATGCATCGCCCCAGCTCTGCTTTCCGCTAATTTCGCTGTGCGATTAATATCGCACTGCTGTGAAGTTCACGTGACGGCCCCAAAACAACAGCTTTGAGGTTCAAGATTGC